AACCTTTCAGTAACTTGGACAGGCAGTGTTCTAGCTGAGCATTACCTCAGAATGAGYCCTGCACTGCTGCACATGCAATGCCACTGGCTGCTGCAGGTGGCAGCTCCTGTGCAAGAAGTTAAGGGYTTCATCCTTGAACAACAGACACAAACATTAACTTTGTAGTTCCTAGGTCGTTTATCAGTTCTTGATCMGACCTTCTTGGGAGCTGAAGGGAGRTTAAAACCACTGCCAGCCCTTTGGTGTTTGTGCYGGCTCTCAGGGGTGCCAAAGGCACAGAGCAGCATCTGGAGAAACAAAACTTACGGAAATGATCTTTGGATGTCTAAAATCTGGTCCAGAAGGGACCTTGAAGGACAGATTCATACACGTTTTCTTTCTAGCCAGTTCACACAATTGGAGTCAGAAACTAGAAAATAGTTCACCATTTTCCACGAGTTTGGCTGGGTCAGAAGAGTAACAGGCTTCAGCTAAGAATACTGTGTCTCGCCCACAGCGGTCATAGGATGATGTAGTTGTCTGACCCTTGCCATCTGAACAGTCTTTTCTGAAACCACGTGAAACGATCCTTATTAAGATGGCCTGTCCTGACTAATCAGTGCTGATGACCAGCCTGTATCAGTTTGAAACCATACTCCCTGTGTTCACAGCAGGTAATTGGCCACAGACAGATCCTTTTTGTTTCTGCCACACCTGTTTAGTAAAAATTACTTCTCTTTTGCCTTTTTTCCCAATGCAGATAGGCATAGCCATCAGCTGCACTAATGCGCAAATGGCCACACACTCCAGGAAGCACAACCCTCACTGGGATCAGCATGGCTCTATCACACAGCTTTCCTACATCCTCCTTTCCGTGCAGCCTGCAGGCTAAGCCTATATTGATGTGTGTACCCTGAAATCCTCTCCAAGCAGTGATACAATGGTCACTGACAAGTACTGTCTGTCAGAGGTGAAAGGTAGAGAAGGTTTCAGTGCTAGCTAGATTCATGCTGATGTCCCCCAGCTAAGTGATGCTAGTGAACTGAAATCAAGACTTGGGATGGAAGAAGCTGTAGGCAGCACTTCATTCTTTCTCCCTCCATTTGCTCATTAATCTGTTCATCATTCAGCAGAATTTGAGCAGACATATTAATTTCATTTAGTGTGTAATTTAAATTCTCAGCTTACTTGAGAAATTAGAGTTCATCAGGGAATCGCAGTCCTCAGCCTCAGAAACAATTTGACTGACTATGAGGGACACAGAGAGAAATAAATCCCAAAATCTCATCTCATCAGTCTTGAAAATGAAAAAATACAACTCTGTTACACTGGATTAATTTCTCTTTGTCTTGCCACTGCAGCAAATCTCATGGGTCCACACTGCACTGTCCCCATAACARGAAGCTCCATCTTCTCCTGGTCAGGCAGTTACACAAGCAGTTGAGTTACTGAGGTTTAGCCAGCAGCTCTTAGCAAAGAGACAGGAGCAGTCAGCATCTGCTTGTTCCACCCCAGAGTGCAGAGGAAGCAAATCAGCCTCATCTGCCATAATGTAGTGTTTGTGTCAGTCAGKCTGCCTCAGCTGAGGGGGCTGCAGGTAGTCAAGCACAGTGACACGGTGACAATGGCATCCTAAACCACTCTCCACCCACCACTGTCTGATCATAGCCAGACTCACCCACTATCTTGGGACAAATGGAAAATGTGGATTTGGAGTGTCTGATCCTCCAAATAGCTCTTCAGCATAGTACAGCAGGATGTTCACCAGTTSCCTTGCTTGTCTGCTTTGCCTCACACCACAAAAGGAGCAGTTCTGCAGGAGACTCAAGCATGACTTCTTTTGGCATTTCTAGTTTGGGTAAGATAGTAGGCAAAACCAAGGCCACCCCTACATGCACCAAACAAACTATTCAATATTTTGTTTATAAAAAAACTTGGAAARTTTTATTAAAACTGGTCATTATTTTATTGAAATGACGAATTTTAAGGATTAATTCAAATCTGATTTGTAGTTTAGACATATTCATGCTAAGTCTATTCTGCTTCCCATGCTCCATTACAGTTTGGTCTCATCATAAAGCAGCTAGACAGATCCTGCCACAGAACAGGTAACCATTTTAGATTGCACTAAATCATCTCAAATAGTGCTTGAAATAGTTCATTAGGACTGTAGGTGTTCCCATGATAAGGGGAGAATTCAGCCTCTCTCATTTCAGACATTATTTTCTCTAATGGAGGCTCCCTGTCGCGAGTGTGTCACTTGTCAGCATGCAGTTACTTGTCCCTCCATCCTCTGCTGCATCCTGGTGAACGGATACTGGGACTGGAACAGGAGCAGGAACAGTTTTCTGAGTGTTTGGCATGCTGAGGCACCTTCTTATTGACGACCTTTGCAGGCAGCTATAGCAGGAGCCCATTACAGTCAGGACACGAGGCTGAGCCACTTACAGTCCTGACTGTGCCTGCAGTATGCATTTCGTTTGCTATTTTATATTTAGGTGTTATCCCAGCCTCACTGAAAGCTCCATGGTCTCCCTTGGCTACTGTCGCCTGTAGAGCTTACCTTGAAGCAGCAGTTGGAGCAGATGAATTGCTCAGAGGCTGAGCAGCACAGGCTAGTGTGGGGCTAGTCCAGAAGCAGTGGTTTATTCTTTGAGCAGATGCATCTATGCTCAAATGATTTTAATGCCATATGGGACAAAGTGTCTCAAAAATGAAGTGACAAGGTGAACAAGAACAGAGGGGCAAGACATGATGTGGTTGGCAGATCCAGACAAAAGGCTGCTCAGAGCAGTGTAGTGATGTCAAAAGGATCCTGAGCCCCCTCCTCTCTCACACACACACACACACACACACACATGCACTCACATGTTGCTCCACGTGTTCTCCTTCTGACAGAACATCCAGGATTAGCTGAAGTGGAACCAGTGCAGCCAAATTCCCCTGTGAGTCAGACTGACAGCACAGCTGTCTTCAGGTTCTKCACTGAAACAAAAGACTGCTTTGCTTCACTCAAGCATGGAGACAGGTAGATTGTCTGTGGTGGGATGACCCTGACTGGACAGCAGCAGCCCACCAAAGACTCTTCATCACTCAACTGCACAGAGGACTGAAAACATGACAACCAGGTCACAGCCTCTTTCGGGCACTCACCTGCTCTGTTGTGGGATCCTCCATTGACTGCGAATGGCTCTCTGCTCCCCTGTGAACCTCCATGGGCTGCAGAGGAGTCTGTTTTGGCATCTGGAGCAGCTCCTCCTCCTCTTTCTGCACTGACCTAGGTGTCTGCAGGGCTATTTCTGACCCTCTCTCCTCTGTCTGGCTGCAGTTGTGCAGGATTTTCCCCCCTTTTCTTTGTTATCTCAGAATCTCTACCACTGTTGCTAATGGGCCCAGCCTTGGCCAGCAGCGGGTCTGTCTTAGAGTCAGCTGGCATTGGCTCTGTTAGGCACAGGGAAACTTCTAGAACCTGCTTACAGAACCCACCTGAACCAAAAACTGTGCATACCAAATACGTCACTTAATATAGAAATCCTGCTAATGATCAGACAGGATCTTCAGAAGCCTAACYGAACATGTTGTGTAATGTCAAAGGCACAGAGAGGCTTCTTCATGCCCTCCCAATCTTCTCTGCTCTACCCTGCTTCTTGAAGGAAGCTTCTCTCTGSAGAATCAGTGAAAAGCCAGAAGGAGCCTGGATTTGGTTAAGGTTCCCCTGGCTGTTTCAGCCCTGCTGGTGCTGCTGATGGTTGCCTGCAAGCCACCACACTTGCACTCACAGCGCGTTCAGTCACCTGTAACCATTTCATCAGCATCCTAAAGCACTGGCAGCTTTTCTCATGGCTTTGTATTTGTGGTCAGCACCACAGCTTCCAACAGAAATGAGTGGAAATGGGGTTGTATTTAATGTAGTAAATATTTGCCTCCTTAGAGAGAGATTTATGTCTCTCAGAACAACAAAATTCACATGGCCTGCAAAGCACCAAGCTTTTATTTTGGAGACAGGTTACCAATGCATTTGCAAGTTTTATACCAAGAAACTGCTCTGATTTAAGGTTTTGATTTTGATCTTGAATCAATCTCTTAGTTGCTCTTGCCAGAGTGAGTTATTAATCCAATCCTCTTCCTGCCAAGCTCCACAAGCATTTATTCACCTCTGCTGTTGTGAGGAGCAGGCTGGGCATGGTTTGTAGGTGCATGTACTTTTTGCTCCATGTTCCTCATCAGTACAATCTCTAGGCATCTCTCCTGCTTATTTCTCCCTCAAGAAAGGCAGCTTTGGACATGTGTCCCCCTGCTCTGACTTGTGAGGAAGGGAAGGTGTTAGCCCACCTTGAACTTGCACACCATGGAAGCACGCTGTTTTTGCACAACAAGGGGGAAAAGCTGCTTTTCTCTCCAAGGGGAAATAAAATCTCTAAAAGGTAAAAAAGAAAAGAACCATCACAATTCACACGCTGTAGGGAAAGCAGAAGCAAAACAAATTCACTGTTCAAGTTCCTCAGCAAGCAGTCTGGTTCACCTGTTATTCAGGCATGCCACAAAAGTAATTTCCTCACAAAAGCATTTTCTCACACTCTGAAGAATGCTTTAACTGGTCTCATTCCTGCCTTGCCAGCCCCATGCTTAGCCTTTCCATACAAGCCTTGGCTGGCATTGCGGGATGAGATTGGGGCAGTTAGCTCAACTTTTGTGACTAGCTGGTAATTCAACACAACTGATCTTCCATGAGAAGCAAGGAAGGACTTTGAATCAGGAAATTTAGTATCAATTTATATATATCTCTGGGTTTCTGTCCCTGTTGGAGGCAGGGTCATATTAGAAAACACACTATTGGGGCCCATGCAGCAGCACTGCAGACAGGGACAAGGTCTCTGCCCTTTGTCAGCTTCAGCTGGGTTTCATCCAAAAGCGCCAGGACCTCAGCAGTCTTGGAGACAAAGATTTTAGTGTGTTGCTGTCAAGAAGCTGCTGTGAGTGAAGGCTGTTGCTCTAATTCCTCTTTTCCCATTCCTCTGCAGAGAAGCAGAGGGAGCTGGCTCGGAAGGGCTCCCTGAAGAATGGCAACATGGGAAGCCCGGTTAATCAGCAGCCCAAGAAGAACAACGTGATGGCACGAACAAGGTAAAGGACTGGACAAGTACRGGTAGCTGTGCTCTGAGCTGCAATCCATGATGTCTCTGGGGTGGTCAAGGACAGCATTCATTGCCATTTGTGCTGCCAGACACACTGCAAAAGCAGTGATGGTCCTTCCTGGAGCCAATGCTCTGTGCTGTGTTGTGTCCCAGCCCCTGGCAAGATGCAGGCACAGCTGAGCCCAGGCACTGCCCACTGAGTGGCAGTGCAGCCTGTAGAAGGCAAAGGCAGCCCAGCCTGGTTGAAATCAGGGTTTGATAGGGCCATTCTGCAGGTTCTGGGTGGTCTCATGTAACACCTAATCCTGAGCAGTGATGCTCCACCAAMCTGGTTTAGAGCTTAGTTCTGCCTTGGTTGCTTTTGTCACATTACGTTCCACTGCTCCTTTTTGATGGTGACCCCTTCCCCATACCRTTGGATTTAATGAAGGTTTGTAAGCAATTCATCTCTATGTGCCTCACTGTACACCTTCTCCACCCTTGGAAAAAGCATGGTCACACTGAGCTGGAGATGCTTTGGAAGAGCTATGTATGACAGCATCAGACAGTACTACAACCTGCTGTAAACAAAGACATTCTGAGCTGAATATTTTGTTTTATTTTTATTTTTCTCCATGCAAACTTCAGAACCAATGTATTACTTACCTGTATTCAGAAGGGAGGAAATCCCCTGAGCCTACAGGACTGCAGGCYTTGCATTCTGCTAAAAAGGTGGCAGGTTTTAGTGGACGAGCTCACTTGAAATGACAGAACAATCTGTGGAAKGCTCGATGTTTACTGATTAATGGAAAAGTTGCCTGAATTACCATATATTAAGTAGAATAGGAGCTGCATGTCAGAGCTTCTCTATATGCAATGCATCTGAGAGATGGGATTTCTTGTTCACACTAATTCTCAGCCTCAAAATATTAGTGATAAATCCTCCAGGATCTTGTCAACTTTTTGTTGTAAGCTCCTGAAATTTGGGTGGAATATGCTGCATTGCTTCCTCTCCGTGTTCAGTCATTGAGGCCATATAAAAGAGCCAGACCCTTCCTGATAGCAAGAAATTCAGGAACTTCCCTCACCTGGTTTTTCCATGCCCACTGTTACTCCTTATCTTCCAAGTACAGGCTAGAAAAATGTGGTTTCTTTTGGCAATAGGCTACAAGCTAACATCCTGARAGGAATGGTAGCAGATATGCAGCTTGAGAGGTTTAGAAACACTGGAATTAGTGCAGGAAGATAAGGGAGAGAAGATGAGATAAATAGAGGTGCCTACCTGTAACATGAGTGAATTTTCCATGGAGAGGCCGTTGTTTCCAATGACGATGGAAAGAGCAGAGCAGTGACACCTATTGACAAAAGATTTGAAACAGCCAGCTCGGTTTTATTTCACTTACAGGCCATCTGAGCACCTCAGAATGGTTCAGACTGTCTCGTCACAGACGGGGYAGCACCAGGAAGGCAGAAATGCCGCAAGATTGTTCAAGCTTTTCACAGGGTAACTGTTGCAGTTAATGCAACAGTTAATAAAAATAATAGTAGGTTTTTCCCAGGAGGATACATTTTGAAACTTCAGGTTATGAGTTGATTATGAACTGTTGGTTTCTTCAGGTGTCTGCAGGGAAATAAGCTAAAGCCGTTTTCCCCTTTTTGACAGTTCTACTCTTCTCATCAAGTATTTTTTCCTTCGTGCTTTGCCTCTCCTGTTCTCTATTCCACCTCCTCCTTGTTCCCCAAGGCCTCTGTTATTCTCTATTATCCCTCTGRATTTCTGACATCCAGTCTATAGTACAAGGTTGTCTTCAGCATTCAGTCCTCCTCTGGGACAGGGGCACAGCCAGCCTTAGAGGTGACAGTAACTGGATCCGTAACACTCTCAGTCTCCCTAAAAGCAAATTAAGTGTGAATGAGGTTGGAATGATGCTGCACTTTTCCTCTGTGAGTGCAGACAGAGCCCATAACACCATCCACACCATTTGGACACAGCTGGGTGCTACAGTCTGCTCAGGGTATGATAAACTTGGAACTTGTGTTCCAGCTTGTGTTGCTTCAAGTGAGCAAAACCACAAAGTCAAGAAGCTCATAGTGGGGCAGCTGTGGATGAAAGCAGCTGCCACTGCTACCCGACTTTATTCCAAGGACAGTGGTAAGTGAAAATAAGGACAGTCAGGGTGTGAGGAAAAGACTTAAATTGGGGTAGAGACACTATAACAGTTTTTGTCTGTTGCAGTGAAATTGAAGTTCTCTGTTATTAAGAAAACATTTCTCAAGAAGAAGATGCAGTGTGTTTTTTTCATCAAGTAAATAGCACCACAGTGTTCCCCTCCTAGATCCCCTGAGAGTGCTTTGTTCACTGATTATTTAATAACAACCATCAGTGAGTGTATATGGAACAGGGACTGAAAAATGGGAGAGTGAAAGTGGGAGTCAGTACTTCTGGTATCAGTATGGGCAAGTTGCTGCTGCCAATCTCAGCTTCAGTTCCAGACATCTTTGCTTCTTGACTTCCTACCTACATACCTCAGGAGCAGAAGGACTGTCCCACTTCTGTGAGAAAGGCTGTTGAATTTTGCAGTCCCCTGATGCAGCAGTTCAGAAATTCTGCATTTTTTATTAATTTATTTAATTTATGTTTCAATGAACAGAGTAAGAAAGTATAACTAATTGTGAACCTATACATCTGCTTTGTGTGTATATATATATATATATATATATATATATATAGTGTTTGATATATCTTACTTTCCCTGAGCCTGCCCACTGTCAGCACTTATTTCTAAAAATTTCTTATTTTTAGAATAACTCCTTATTTCTAAAATGGTTAATGGCTAGCTACAATTTTCTGAGCAGAAGCAGAAAAGCATTTCAAGTAGTTAGAGAGTACCTGGAGCATGGATGAGGATTTCAAGTAGTTAGAGAGTAGTTGGAGAATAGATGAGGTGGCTTATCATCTTTAGATTTATATTTCTCAGACTCTTAGTGAAGTATCATTGTGCATCATGGTGTGTTGTTAAAGACCACTTGGGAGAAAACCTGAATTGACCCATTGAAAGAGAAGACTTTTTGTCGCTCTCCTGCTGAGCAAAGAATCTTATTCCATTAGCTTGGTTTAGTTAATCTTATTTTAAATATGAACCAAAGTATTTTTGCAGTTTTTTTGGATGAAAGACCACTGTTGTGAACAAGACACCATTGTATTAACACATTTTCTTTATCTTAGAAGTTCTGAAGCCTGCAATCCATTTCACAAACTCTCCCAGGCAATTAAAGGTGCAGAGTCATCCTCAGCCTTTGTAACATTTCTGATTAACTGAAATCCGTCACAAAAAAATGGCATTTAAAAAGTGCTGGTCTGACTGGTCTCTTATGCTGGGCACACCAGGTCAGATTTCTAATATTACTAAATTTAGGACTGAGACCCCAGAAATGTTGTGTTGCCAGAGACCTGGTAGGGACTCAGAAAGAGAGACCACATCCTATCCCTGATTTCCAGTTGCAGAATAATGGGATCACTGAGCCTCTGCTTTCCCCTACCCCTCTTCTCCTGTGTACTTACTGCTGGTKTCATGTACCCATTGTCAGGAAGACAAGGCAACACAAAAATGAGCAATCTGACACAACGAGCATTGCTAGCCAAACAGGTTCACCAGAATGCAGTGCAGTGTCCCAATTTTTTTTTCCTTGGAGGAAGCGTGTTCCCACAGCATGCTTGGTGTTATCCCTGTGAAACTATGTAGGCTACCCAGAGACACACCTTGCTCCCTCTGAATTGCACCCATTTAAACATCTTCACCTGTAAGTGAAGTGAAATGGTGAAAGCCATCTATCGTATAGCTTTACCCACAGAGTGTGTGGTGCTGAGCTTTACTGTGTGGTTAATGGACAACATTTTAATTATTTCAGGCTCGTCGTTCCCAATAAGGGCTATTCGTCGCTAGACCAGAGTCCGGATGAAAAGCCCCTGGTGGCCCTGGATACAGACAGGTATGCAAAAGGTTAAAAATGTGATATTACATGACAGCCTAAGTGAGTTTTCATGCCAGAGGGCAGCACTCACACTCTTTTYTCCACTGTTCCTTGTGACCTGTGCCATAATGGGTCTCTGTGTGAGAACAAGTGAGAAGAGCTGTGAGTAAAGAGCACTGTGATGGGAAGATCTGAGGGTCACACATTAAAGCTGCTCTACAGGCTCCCTTGATGTAACTTCTCTGTGCCTCAAGAGCAGTTTCGTGGCACAAGAAGCATAGGGCTAAGTGGGGAATACAGGTCTCATCTAACCAATTTCTTCTTTGCTATTTCTTGTACTTCCCTGCAGTGATGATGACTTTGATATGTCCAGATATTCCTCCTCGGGATACTCATCAGCTGAGGTGAGTTATACTCTCTCTGCCATCCTTGCCATGAATGCAAATAACAGAGCAGCCAGAAATGGCTTAGAGTGGCCTTGCACAGGCTGAAATGGTTACACAACAATTTTAGTGGTGGTGTAGACTCTGTGAGTCTGGAAGGGGCCATGGCAGAAACTGTAATAGTGCTTTCTTCCCTGAGATCCAGTTGCCTCCATACCCCCACTGCTATGCACAGAGATCTGCCCATCAGTACTTTTCATAGGTGCCTTTGGTTTCACTCAAACTTTCCCTCGTTTTGCCTAGTCCTGCAGTGACCCATGTRGTGTACAAGCATCACCTTGTCTGTCATGGCAGCTCAGCAACTGTATGCGTGCCAAGGACACAAATAACGGATCTGAGGGTGTGCTGTGATTTCCAGTTAGTGGAGTGGTCAGGGTCACCCAGGGAGTGTTTACTTGGAGGAAGCAGAAATTCCAGGGAGGACTTGCAGTTATGAACTCTTGCCCTTTCAGAGTGAAAAGGCAGGAAGCTCAGGCCTGTAAATCTGCATTGTTTCTGATTTTATTCCTCAACACTCTCATTAATTTGTTGCTCAGCCCCTTGTTACTGCTTCTGCAGAATTTTGCATCCAGGGTGCTGAGCAGCCATTCTGCCCACACACTGCTCAGAACTTCAATATTTCCCCTTGTATGTCTTCCTTAGATGAAATACCTCTGAAACCCTGGGAGACAGCCAAGAGCAGTGACCATGTCAGATGATCTGAGCTGTTTCTGTGCCCTGATGAAGTGTTGTTTACACAGATCTGGTTAGACAGCAGTTGAATCTGAGATCACAGAGACAAAATTTATCATCTTTGAACTGCTATAGTGTGCCCCAGACTGGGGCGGGGGGGCTGCCCATCTGCCAGTAAATATTATTATTACAGTACTTTAAGTGAGGGCTTTTCCTCTGGGAAAATTATTCTAGAACCAAAACAGTGTATCTTACTCCAGATATTCCTATTCTGAAATAAGCTAGTACCCTCCCCTCACCTGAGGTCGAAAACTGGGACTGTTTCACTGGTGGGGCCACTGTTAATTATGGGGAAATACAGTCCAGAATAGGGGGACCTCCCTCCCATTCTGACTTCCAGAAGTAAAAAGTCCCGAGTGTTTGACTGTTTGTCTCTTTGTCTGTAGCAGATCAACCAAGACTTGAACATCCAGCTGCTAAAGGATGGGTACCGGTTAGATGAGATCCCAGATGACGAGGACCTCGACCTAATCCCCCCGAAATCGGTCAATCCTACCTGCATGTGTTGCCAAGCCACCTCCTCCACCGCCTGTCACATCCAGTAGTGAGGCCGGCAGGCTGTGATCAGTGCTTTCCACTATAACTGTAAAACTTAACAGCCATTGCTTCCTCCTATGGTAGGACGTGCACCTCTTTGTGTTCATGGAGCCAGGAGAAACCAAAAAATTCATTTTATGATTGGTTGATAAGTTATTTTAAACTATGGTAAAACGAAAGAGAAGTTGTTCAAAGTGCCAGGCAGTGCCTGGCAGAACTTATTGGTCTGGAGAGCGAATGCAGAGGGGTCCAGAGATACCTCCTTGGTTTGTTTAGGCACTGGGGATATTTTGTAAAGTGTCTTTTTCCAGAATGGGAGAGGTCAGRTGGGACTTCAGGTAATCCTGCCCACTGAAACCAATCCATCTGAAAGATTAGGGCAAGTTGGAGGTATCAAAGTGTTTTACCAATGAGAGGAAGTCAGTTCTTAATTCATTCACTAAACCTGTTTCATTTGCATAACCAAAATTATACTATAACTGGGGCACAGGAATGGGGACGGACCAGGGCATCCTTTCTTATGGCAAGGCTAGCCAGGACTAGCATGACACAATTCMTTCACTTGCAAAAGGGACAAATAGGTGACATTTCACTGTGAGTCAGTACTAGCTAGAGCTGTTGTGTCACATAGCCAATGCAATCTACCCTTAGCGCCACATTAAATTAGCACCAAACACATCAGATTCGATCTGCAATCCATTCGTGTACTTCAGGGGTTTGCTCTTTGCCCAGGAATACCAACCATACTCGTGAGTTTGATTCAGTCATGTATTCTGACTTCAGCCTGTATTTAATCCCTGTGCARCCCATCTCTTTCCAAAAATCTGAAACTTTGTTTAACTGAGAAGAAATTAATCCTGCATGAGTCAGGACTAGAGATGTACAGCCCAAACGGCAGTGCTGAAAAAACTAGTTGAAGAAAGCACATTTTAACTGTGCTTGACTCTTGATATTCTCTTGACACTGTGTCTCTGGGTGCTTGTCGGAGAGATTCATTAATGCTGAAGTCATCAGTGTGGTGGGGTCAGACTTGAGAGGAGTTTTCAGCAGCAACAGAGTAATGAATAACTTCAGCTGAAAGATACTCATGAGAGGAAACTACTGCTCACCCCCTACCTGCCCACCTCTGAGCCAGGCATGGTCTGTGTTACTACTGTCCCATGTCAGGGGCAGTTGTGTTTATTCGGTGCTGGAAAAAGTTAGGAAATCTGTTACATTAGGTTGCTGGGCTGAGSTGCCAGTTCACCAGCAGATTGTTTTGAATGCAAAATCACTTGTGAAATTAGGAAACATGTCCTCTCACTGGCCAGTCTTGCACTGCTGGCTTCAGTATGTACAAGGGATGGGCTTGCATTTTTCTCCGTGTTGAAATCTTTTGCCACAGGCACAATTCTTGTGTTTCCTGGCCTTTCAGGAGGAAGGACCACCTGCCTTGGGTCATCAACTGCTTTGTAGCCTGGGARTGGAAAAAAATTAGGGCAGTCCTGAGCTTCCCATCAGACCCATTCCTGAGTTACAAAGCAGAGCCTGAGCTCCACCACAACAGGCAGATCCCTCATCTGAAATCTGCATGAACTGAGTCTTTAAGAAGTTCTATTCATAATTAGCAGGGGATTTATTTAACATCCTGGGGATACACTCTGTGCAGTGCAAAGCTCAATACCAGCCACTGTGTGAGTGAAGAAGCGGGCACACAAGGTTCCCAGGCTTCACTATTCACTGGATGGTATGGACAATTTTAAAGCTGTGCTTTTCCCCTCTGCCTAAAACAAMATGCTGCCACTCTGGTTCCAGGCCATAGAAAGAGGACTTGAATGGTGCTGTTYACTGAGCATCCCTGTGTCTTCATGCAGAAGTGGTGGTTAGCTTGCCAACTCGTGTAGGGAAAGTGTTCCTCAAGTGAATTCTTCTCCTTTTCTCATCACCTGGTAGTGCTAAGGGGGAATATTTCCAAAATACAGCTCAGGTTGAGGTTATCAAGTTGGCTGAAGTCGGGGGAAGTAGAGAGTAGAGAGAAAGATGAAAGGGAAAAACATTCCTTAAGGAGTCTTTTTTTAAATAGGGGATATAGTCAAAAACTGATAGAAACACCATGGTCAAACCAAATCCAGTAGGATGTGACCAAGGCTCTTTAAATCTTCACACTTCTGGAGAGGGACTTGCAGTTCAGCAGTGGTACCATGGAATGTCTTCATCGCATTCATCCTCCTGGGTCAGTCTCTGTGCCTTCCAGCCAGGCTGCAGAAGCTCAGCCTTTCCCACAGCCCTTGCTCAGGAGCTCGGAGCATTTCGGAGTTGCCTGCTAGAGCAACGAGCTATCTCTTCACCTGGGCCAGCTACTGAGGACTGCACATCTCACAGGTCTCCATCATGCTTCTATCACAAAATCATGCCATCATCTAGGTTGGAAAACACCCTTAAGGTCACTGAGTCCAGCCATAACTGAGCACTGTCCTGTTCAGTCTAGGGTAGAATGAGGCTTGTTGGTACTGCTGTGTCCCAGGGAGAGGYTCTTGTCCTCGGAAGGACACACTTCCATTCAGTGGACTTGGCAGTGCYRRGTTAACAGTTGGACTCTATGATCTTAAAGGTCTTTTCCAATCTTAGAGTGATTCTATGACACCCACTGTCCCATGGCAACATGACCAAATCCTTTTGTTGCCCCTGTCGCTGGTTTTTGCCTGCCATGTGCCCTGAGGCATTCCCCAACCCTGCAACTGCCTTCAGCCCTTTGCATTTTGTGATGTGCATCTGCTTCTAGCACAGCCCTTTAGGAAGGGAGGGAGATGAACTCAAATGTTACACCCAGTGCTTCCTCCAAATACAAACTGAAGCACAACCCAAATGTTTTTGCCTGTGCACAGGAGTCGGTTGCACAAATAATTGGTTTTGGCGTGACAGTACAGGACCATAAAATGGAAATTTTTTGGCTTCTCCTCTCTATGCTTGTGTTCATATCTTTTACTAGGGGAATAAAGTAGAAAGGGTGGGGAAAAGTAGTTACCTGTGTAGGGTTGTTATCAGAAAGGCTGAGTGGGTTAAGGCAATTCACATGTGGCTGTCATAGAAAACTGAACACTAACCCTTCTGAACTGCAGCCCCTTCAGCAGGTTAGACCATGCAGCATGTTTKTTGGCTCATTATGGAATACAGAGGACTGCCTGTTGGTATGTATCAACCACAGATGAGGCTGGTTCTCCCTGTCTGGTCTCATGTTCAGACCTTTGCTTAAGCCAGTAGGTTTTCCTTATGCCCTCAGAGTCACAGAATGGGTAAGGCTGGAAGGGGTCACAGCGGGATCATCTGATCCAGCATCTCTGCTCAAGCGACCCATGTTGGAGGTTATGCTGTGGTGATTTCCTGGAAAGCTGTGGAGATGAATGGCTCCTCTGGCACTGCTTTCCTTAGACCAGTCTCTGCCACCATGGCCWGAAGGCAGAAGGAAAGAGCACAGACTCTAACTTTGTCACAGCATTTCTRCCAAGTATACAGAGCTGCTGGGCACTCTCCTAAAGGCAGGTGGCATGCAAGAAAGAAAATTGTTCCTTCCTCCAGTCTTTGCACCAAACAAGATGGTCCTCTCCGGCCACATTTTCAATCTAAAGTTGTACAGAAAACCCAAGGGAGGAATACCATGGAGTGTGAAATGGCATCACAGTCTATCTAAATTACCATGCAAATAGGATGTATGGATATTGATGCTGGTGCCTCCACAAAGGAATTTGCATTTGATGCCTCCTAAAGCCAGACTGGATTTTTCTTAGGATTTTATGTAATGTCAGTCACCAAGTTACCTGAGTTTAAGCAAATCCTATTCTTTTATTAGATGTTAGTAAAATATCAGATAGTATCCTTTAATGTGAGCTAGATTTGGACTCCAGGTCTCAGCACTCTGTTCCATCTCTCTGATCTGCAAACTTCACATTTCCACATGTCTGTGAGGAGGAACATCCTCCTAGTCTTAAGGAAGGTCTATAGATAGCATAATGTCTGCTTTTCTAGTGTTGGTAAATAAATTCTGGCTGAAAGGAAGTTGATGCCCATCCTGAAGGGTCATTTGATATCTCATCATACACATCTTGAAGTCAGCCTTTTATATAGCCTGGGTGATGTCTGACATTGCTGCATGTCTGTCCCTRAGTCGTGTGCTTGTCCAGTGGGTCTGCTGTGCTCTTCTGGCTGGCCTGCCTGCAGATGCTTTGCAACTGAAAAACCAGATGACCATTGCTGCTACATGGACTTGGAAAGGGATTTCAGGACAGCTCCCCCATGGACAGGACAGACTGGGCTCACTCTGGTTTGTCTCACCAGCTTTTGTCCCAAAAGCAGACACCCGCTGAGTTCAGCCGTTTGCTGGCTGATGCACAGGTCTGCAGTCCTGAGCAGAATCCTTTTGTGCACAGTCTAACCCTGGGCTGGCCTGCAGGCTGTGCAGGAGAGTGCAGGAGGCACCCTGTGTGTGACTCAAAAGAAACATGAAGATGCTTTTGAAGAAAGGAAGGACCCAGCTGGGAAACAGATGGAACAACAGGAAAAGGCAAACAAGCAATAACTAGAAAGATTGCCAAGTGCTTTCTTGGCCTAGGGCAGATCCGAGTTGTCCGAGTTGATCCGACTCAGTGCAGTGCTGATGCCAGCAGGGAGCAAAGCTTGCTTTCAAATGTAGGCACCAGAAACACCACGTCCCTGAGCTGGCACCACAGCCAAATACAACTGCTGGACTCAGAGTACAGAAATGAGATCTGGGGTCCTTGCTGCTCTTGGTATTTGCTCTAACCTCAGGCAAATCACATCCCTTCTTGATGTCCATTCCCTTCTGCAGCACATGGGAGAAATTTACCTTCCTTAAGTGCTACCATCATCCTGCATAGATATTGCCCAGTGTGTGGGAGACACCATTGATAATTCAGCTCTGCAAGCAGGATGTAAATACCATGTCACAGAAATTTAATTCCTATTTGCAAAGTACTGCTCTGCTTTCCCTCTGTTTACCATCTTCTGATGTTTCTCACATGTGCCAGAAGGCAGCAGGGTGGAGGATATTAGAGAGGTTAAACATCTTTGGAGAAAGATGTTTGTCAAGGATATGTTTTTCATTTTCTTGTCAGCTGACTCTTGCACAATTGGCTTCTGGGTTTGCCTGCTCCCACAGGGAACATGTTACAAGGATTTGGTGGCCCAATAGCACCATCCACTGATAGCAAAATCAAGGAATTTAGAAGTTCAGCATGGGGTGTTGAGTAGCGATGAGGGAGAACAGAGGATTGAAAGGATCATTTTTGGGATAGTGCCATAGCAGTTTCATGCTCTTGCTTTTAGCAAACATGTAATTATCTTAGCCTTTAAAACAGCTGGTTCTGCCTAGGCTCCTCCTTTCCTTTTCCATCCTCACTTCAAACCCAGCTAGGGTATTGCCACTCTTACCTGGAATGCCATAGGCTTTGGCACCTGGCTGCTACTTGGCTCAGCAAGCTTAGGCTGCATGTTCAAGAGCAACATCTGCATAGTGGGGCAGTGCCACAGGGCTAGCTGGGGAGGCATGGGAAGGTCTTCATTTTAAGCTGCTTTTCACCTCTAGGCATACTTGTCACTTCCTTTCAAGTCTCAGCTRTGAGAGGGATTGCTCCAAACCACATCTCATCAGACAAACCCACCTTTGTTACAGAGCCACAAAAGCCCTGAAGCAAAAGGGCCGGGAATTTAGCATAGAGGGAGATGTTGTGGCCTGCGATTATCTATAGAACATCAGTGGAGGTTTCTCACAGGGATTGTGGGCCTTATTTCAACTTCCTGTACTATGTAGCTGAGCTGCCGCATTGCTTCCCGAAAATTACAGCTACATCCCTTCCTTTGCCCCACTTGACATTGCTGGCAGTCCTCAGATGACACAGCTGAATGCTGCCTGGAGTAGAGCCCCATGTCCCACGCAAGCATGCTGCAAACCCTGTCAACAGGCTGTGGCAGGACAGTGCAGCTTCCCCTGCTGCCTGTGGAGAGCAGCTTTTCCCATTGCTTCACAGACCATTTGCCACTAGTGGCTTTGAGCCTTTTGCTTTCTCTAAAAAGCTGCTCCAACAGAACATGGATTTGCTCCTGGAAGGTGCTCACGGATGGTGCCTGGCCTGTGGAGCCGTTTCCATGGTAGCAAATGGTGATACAGGTGGTGAGATTGGGTCAAGGAGTGGAAGGTACAAAATAAACCTCACTGAAATGTGGCTGTTTCTGACATGCCACTGGAAAACAGCACAGTAGGCACCAGGAAAAGAAAAGGCCAATCARCGACATGCTAAGTCCCATAGCTGCTGAGATATTTACCCTCCCAGAGCAGTATTTCTCCCCTAGCTGCCCTTGCAGCTGTCCCRGGTGAGCTCTCTGGGAAGCACTGCTCTTTACCCAGGCTGCCTTCTTGCTTCTGCAACTCCWTTTGTTACCCACCTTCCTCAAGCCTCTGTGATTTGGGAGACACAGCTTGTTGAGAGATGTAATACAGACAGATGGAAAGGGCTGAAAAACTTGGGCAAGCACTCTTCATGACAGACCTTCATATCCATTCCCAGTTCACAGATTTGTTTGTTCAGTTTCTTTGCACGGAAAAGCTGCAGTGTTCAAACTAAGACAAACCCCAAGCAAAAGTCAGGCCAGCTGTAGGTCAGTCAATAGGGTGAGAGTCAGGAGGCTGGCATTTCTCTTCACCCACATGAAGGCTGTGGGGCTGAGGATTCACCAGGTTTGTGGAAAACCTGGGGAGTTCCAGCCCAGCAAGCCGGATGCCTTTACCCTCCCAGCCTCAGAGCTGTGTGAGGGCTGGGGCCCAAGCACCAGTCCCAGACCTGCCAGCCCAYGTGCTCCTGGTGTGGGCTGGAATCCTGCAGCAGAGGCCCTGGTGGGCAGCCTGTTGGCTCTGCTTTTGCTGCGCTGGGGCAGAGAGCTGTGAGACACTGGTGGGGCTGTAGTTCTGCCAGGAAAAAGACTCTGGTGGAGGATGAAGTCTTTGCAGGGGAGACAGTTCAGAAAGTTGGTTTTTTCCCCTCCCCTTTTTGCACTTTTTAAACCATTCTTACTCCTTCCACAGAAGTTCTTGAACCTTCAGTTTAATAAGGGAGATGARCTGCCATTAAGTGGGTTTCTGAAAAGGGTCTGAAAAAGCACATGCTGGCTGTCACTCAGAGCCAGTCTGTGCCTGATGTGATTTCCAGACCTCATTGTCCAACCTGTGGCAGAGTCACCCCATGAGCTGGGCGAGGASTGGGGTGGGAGGGTTGGCACTGGCCATCATGCCAAACAGCCATGGCTTCCCAAACTGAAGAAGAATCAGATCAGAAGTGGGGGAAGGAGTAGCAGCAGTAGAAGGATAGCTAGTTGTCACAGGTAATCTTTGGTATCCGTGTCCAGTGGTTAGTCCTAGAATTGCAAGCCTTGTTATATTGCACACACGTCCTCCTTCCACTCCCCTTTTCTCAAAGCAGCCATTGTCTGTCCTCCCCCTGCCCCATGCACTAGTGATGAGCATCAGAGGCAGTTGCACCAAAGTGATCCTCAGCCCAGTTCTGCATCCTCCTTTTCCCACCCGAACCCAAGGCAACACAAACAGTTGTTGGCCTTCACAAGTCTAGTAATTGCAGTTGGATTTCTTTCCTTGTGTACCATGGCTTCCTTCCCATGCACTCTAGCAGGGCAGTACAGGAGGCTCTGACCATGTCCCAAGAAGTTTCTTTGCCCCCAGCAGCACCTTGCAGACATGCACCTTACTGGGAATGTACTGGGTCGATGCTGGTGAGATCTGGCACTGCCGATCTTGAATGGGTGGCAGTTAATGGGGATCCACCCGAGGAAGTTGGCAGAAAGTGGCTACTGTCCCTTTTCTTTTCTTTTTTGAGGGAGAGGGGGATATTTTGGCATTACARTTATTGTCCATCTTCCAGTGGCCAAGTTCTGGGCTGCATTAATAATTGGGGTTCATTGGCTGTCCAGGCAGGTGTGGAGCCTTGCACCAACCTTAATAGCAAATTTCATGGCTGTATCCAGAGCCTGGGTACAGGATGGGTTTCTTCCATGCTGGCAAAGTATTTTCAGCAGGCTCCAGATGGACACTTCTAGCAGACAGAGAAACAGCACTCCTCCAAGTCCGGATCAAATCTGCAACTCCCACTTCCATTTTRTGTCCTCAGCATGGAAAAAAATCAGCCTAAGCAAATGCCTTCCAGGTCTCCATTCCCCATTTGGTGCCTGGTGCCCCAGGGGAAGGGGTAGTGGGAGGCATTTCAGGGTCACCAGAAGCAAGATCCTTTTTGGATTTATTTAATGGAAATACATTTCAGGACGGAAGACCTCCCAACCTTTGTGTTAATCTCAAGAGCAGGAGATGAATTTCTGGCTGTCCTTGCATATAGTGAAATATAGCTGAAACAGCCAAACGCAAATAGAGTTATATGTAGGGTTTGACCTGAATAACCTTTTAATTAGGAAGATAAATTTGTTGTAGCTTGACCTTAGTCCTTGTTAGGAACCTGCTAATCATTTGACATGCAGAGTGTATTAATGCTGCACTTAACTTGGCCATTGTTTTTTTTTTTATCTGGTTTTGGGAGTTTTTTCACTCCCAAAGCATCAGTCTGCATCTTGTATGGGTTTTCTTTTGTTTCTTTTTTTCCCATTCAGATCATGTAGCACACTGTTGTACTTTTGTTCCCGTCTGTGTAGAGTATTGCCTTAAACAGATCAGTTGTGTTATGGTTTGTTTTGGGTTTTCTCTTTTCTACCATCAGTTTTATGCATTAATTTATTTTAAAATGTGGGGTTTTTTTTCGAAAACATTAAAAACGTGTATAATATTTTTTTTTAACATTTCCATTGCAGTATTTATCATTGTTACTGGTTGTGTGTAGTGTAACGGAATTAATGATATTAAAAAGCATACATATGAAAAACAGCCTGACAGTGGTTTTTTTTTTCATTGGAGCAAACCAGGGTGAGGGTGTGTGGACTGCACCAGCTTATCTGAGCCCCCAGCAGTCACAGGTGCTGAAACCAGGGGTGCAACCTTCATGCCATGGCAAATACCAGCCTGTTTGGTCCCAGAAACAGTGGCTGCTGTGYGTATGGCAGAGGTGAATATTCCAGGACTGGCCACCAACATCGGGGAAACATGTGTCCCCAAGGCAGCAGGAAAGCACACAAGGCTGGACCCAGCCCCTGCATCTGGTGYGCAAAAAGCAGAAAGGACTTCTGCATCTGTACCCACTGATGGGTAAAATAACCTTTTSTCCAGCCTTGCAGCTCTTGTGTCCCTCAAAGCTGTTGGCACAAGAGCCAAGCTCCGATTTTGAAGTCCAGTGCCAGCAGCTGGAAAACTTGTGGACCACCAGGGACAGAGGACAGCCAGGGAGGCCAGTGGCTCACAATGGCAAATTGGTGAAGGATTAGTCCCCCCACAAGTGAGAGGATTGGACTCCGACCCTCTGCAGAGTGGGGCTCCCCAGACATATGCACTGGGTGCTCCAAGCTCCCACTGACTCCCTGGAGAGGATGGGGCTGACAGAGAGCCTAAACGTGGCTCAACAGAGACCAGTGGGGTGTGAAAATCAGGAGAACCTTGTTTTCTTCATCTCTAAGGGCAGTTTAATACCCAGAGCCACCCAGGGGTCCCAGGTTGTCCAGCAGCAAACCAAGCAGGACTCTGCAGCCCTTTAGGGGCACAGGTTGGCATCCACCCTGCAAAGATGGGCATGATTCTGCATCCATGGATCTGCCAAAATGTGGCAGTRGAGGGACTGGAACTCTGAGCTGTCACTGTGTTACACAACAGATCAGAGAGGGCTTGGCTTGCCCCCTTCCCTGCAGGGGCAGGGATCTCTGCTCAACTCCCCAGCTCTGGAAAAAGTAAACCCCAGTTCATGCAACCCCACTCTGGCATGACCCTGCTGCCTCTCTGCACTGAGATGGAGGAGGATTGCTCACTCTGATTGCAGAGCCCATTACTCAGGATGGAACAGCAAACAAGMCACACAGGATCATCCAAATCCAGCTTTTAATTACAAAGGGGAGACAGAGCAAGCAATAATTTCACTGGTGTGCTGGTGCTGGTGTGTGCCACAGGCATTGGTCAGTGTGGGCTCGGTATTTGCAGCTGCAGGATTTCCAAGGAAATGCAGGAGAAAGAGGCTGGAGAAGCCACAATCACTGCTCCTGATTTTATTCCCAAAATAAAATTATCTTGACTAGGACCAGCTGAAACTATTTCCTACCATTRTTAAGGTAGCTGCCGGCAGGAGGGGAGGGAGTTGGGAGCCARGACAAGCCCGGGAGGGCTGTAGGCAGCAACTGCAGTCAGGGAGTGTGGGTATGGGACTGACAGAAAGCCACCACATCCCGCTGCTCTCATCCTAGGGCATCACTGATCACATCAGCATCCCCCTGGAGTGAAGTGCCCAGACCCACTCCTATCCCGGCAGGCTGCATATTCCTCTTCTCTGAAAAACTCAGCAGCACTTGCACCAATTCCGACTGCTCTCTGTGCTCTGTCAAAAAGTCCATCCAAGAGCAGATTCCACAGGAGCTCTGGAAAGAGAAAAGTTTGTAACAAGTAAATGTTCCAGGAAGAGGAAACTTTGGGRTGTCTGCACCTACACAGTTACAGATGCAGGAGGGTGGCACCCCCTCTGCACTGAGGGGGTGTCATGCTCCCTGATCAGAAAAATGTTTGATAYCCCATGGTGCTACTGATTTGTCCCCTGGAGCTGCATCCTGCAGTGGCTTTGGGCTCTCAGAGCTGGCTGTCACCAGCAGAAGCTCTCACACCTCAGCCCTGTCCGTGGATAGGTTTCAGAGTGCACGAGGCACGGGATCTGCTGAAGAAGGGAAACTGAGGCAGTGACAGAGCTCATGCCAGGCTGTTGGGTGACATGGTGATGATGGGGTGGCTCTAAGACCTGCTACAACATGGTCCCYGGGCTCAGTTGAGTTCCAGCTGGTGAGTCTTCTATGCGGGGGGATCATGTGAAGGGCTGGGGTGAGTTCTGAGCGCCAAAAATCCTCTCCCAGCCCTGGTCCAGGAGGAGGAGGGATCCCTGAGCCAAGGCCCCACTCAGAGTGTGTCTGTGGGACACAGCTTTCCCCTCACTGGCTAAGAAGGTCACAGGCACTGAGGCAAAGCTCGCTGCAAACAAGCTCATCTCCTGCAGCCTCATTACCATGTGCATTATAATGAGGGAGTGAGCAGAGGGCATGGAGAGGGACGTCACCACAGTGCAGGACAGAAATAGAGCATGCCATCAAGCAGGGCACCCCTCTGCCTCATGAAACACAGCCCCCTGGGGCCTTGCCAGCTGTAGGACATTGGTACAGTCCTGTAACTTCTTTCCCAACCCCTGCTTGCCTCATTCCTGGCAGTCCCAGTGCACTCACCTCATCTCCCACTAGGCAAAGAGCTTGGACATCTGTGGACACCCTGGGTGCAGGGCCACAGGAGCCAGTGACACCAYCCTCAGTCCCCTGGTTCAGGGTGAATGGGGAGCTTGGGCAGAGGATCACGGTGCTGCTGTGACCCCTGAGGAAGGCTTGGTGCTCAGATCTCCAGCTGCATTTCCAGCATTAGATCCTGCCTGGTAATCGGCTTCACTGTGTGCCCCTGCAGCCATGAAGGCAGGTGCACGGGTGTCTGTTCCCACTCYCTACTGTCTGTAGGATTAACAATGCCCCCATTACAAATCCACTGAGCCAAGATCAGCCCAAGCAGATGACTGAGGTGACAATGCAGGAACGCTACAGCAACACCATCAGCCATTAACTCTTCTGCCTATCGGCCCGAGAAGARCTGCTTGTCCAGCTCCAAAGGTTCCACCAAGGTGCCAGCTGTCCCCATGTCACAGAGGTCACATCTCCATGGGGTTGGGGGGCTGATGGTGCTGGCAGTGCCTCTGTTCATCCCCTCTTTGCATCCTCCCCATGTCAAAGGGATGGTCCCTCAGTGTATGTGCTTGTGGCTTTGCTATGGCCACCCATCTCCTTCCCTGGACTGAGACTGTCCCTGTGCYAGGGATGTCTGCACATCCCCAGGGTTCTGACTCCCAGTGGCCCATAAATACCCCCTGCTGGTAAGTGCACTCTCCTGGTGCCCCATGGTCTCCAGGGACCAAGGCTGTGTGAGCAGGGGCAAGTGGCCAATGAGTTACACCTGGTGGACGTCACCTCTATGACAGATCCCTAATAACGGCAGATTTACTGCCAGGACAGGCGTTTGTGTGCATGGTTTCATCCAGCCATGCTTGGGATTGTGCCACACCTRGAATCCTGCTGGCATTCCTAGGCCTGACTGCCTCTCCCAGTTTAGCATCTCCCAGATTYTGGGGCCACATCAGTGGTTTTTGTGCTGCTCTAATATTTTCTGTTGTCGCTGTGTGCTCCACTTACCCAGAACGTGTTCCCTGGTCATGCTGTTTGTTATGCAGTAATCAGCACTGTCCTTCACCCACTGCAGGTCTGCCAGCACCTTTTAATCCCCACATATTTGCCTTCAGGATGTCCCTGTGGCTGAAGCAGCTTTTTTCAGTCTTGGGCAGAGGGCAGAAAAGAAGCTGTTCTACCAGCACAGTCATCACTCTGCTGCTGCATCAAACCCCCGTGGGACAAAATAGGTGCCAGACTTAGCAGAAAACATGTGATTGACTTTAAATTCCTGAGATCAGAAACCAAAACCAAGCAACAAGAATAAACAGGGAGCACTGGATTCCCCATATATTTCCCTATGCCYGAGCCTCAGAGAGAAGTTTCTCAAGGTCTTCTCCACGGAGAAACAGGAATATTTTCCTCTATTGGCATGGGTCTGTTAATGATGATTTTAGGAAGATGACCATGCAAGAGAGAATGGTGTTTGCAGGCAGGGGAACCCACTGGGAATGGCTCACTGAGATGGCAATGCCAGGGTACATTTGTTTGTCTCAGGAGCTCACATTGCCYGTGGCACTGTTGAAGGGCATAGGTGGTCCTTCGTTAAAACCGGCTTGGGCAATTTTTCCCCTCAAAGCCTTTCCCACAGGCTGGAGAAGTTCCTGGGAAGGGGAAAGAGACTCCATCTCCTGCAGGCTTGGTGGGCACTTTAACAGCCCTTGCATGCTGTGCCCTCCCACCATGCACAAGCTGGAGACCAGGAATGCATGCAAGGGAAAGCTCKGGGAGCATAGTAACACAGCCAAAAATAGAAGCAGTCATTGACACCCGTGTTTGTTGGCTTCATGCTGAGCTGCTGAGGACGTGCTTGCTTTTGGCAAGTTGTCCAGGAAGAGCTGCCATCCATCTGGGATMCTGAGCACTGACAAAGGCTAAATAAGGAGGGGTACTTTGAAAGCAGCACGTAATTAATGAAAGCATGAAATGTCTGACTGTGATCTGARAGCACAGTGCCAGGGGGCAACGCTGCCCGGGCCCCTCCATGTGTGCTGCTGATCTAAATCCATGGCACTGTGCATTTATGGGGGAGGCTCCAGCACAGAGGCATCTGGGGACCCCCACTCCAGTGAGGCAGCAGCCTGCCATGCTGTGTCCTCACCAAACAGTACCCCAATGCTCCTGGGAGCAGGGAAAACCCCAGGAAACCTCATCCTGGACTAAAACCATCCCATGAAAATCATGTCCTGGCCCAAAAGCCCCCCATTGAAAAACCTGGCTCCGCCCAAAAGCATTCCATGAAAAGCCCATCCCAGCCCCAAATAACACATGAAGAGCCCAGCACGGCCCAAAGCATCTCATYAAAGCCCCGTCCCAGCCCCAAGACATCCCATTAAAACTCTGTCCCAGCTCCAGAGCATCTCATGAAAACCCTGTCCCATATCAAAAGCATCCCGGCACAGCCCCGCCAGCACCAACCCGCGTCCTCCCCAAGCCCAGCCCCGGGGGTGCCCTCATCCCCCCGCACCCCCGCACATCCCCCATAGCTCCAGCCCCGGGGATACCCCCATCCCCCCGCACCCCCGCACATCCCCCGCGGCTGCCCTGCCGGGGCCGAACTACATCTCCCATCGGGGAGCGCCGGAGCGGGGGCCGGTCCGGGGCGGGAGCSGGGAGCCGGGGCGGGGCGGGCAGCGCCCAACCCCGGAACAGCGCYCAGCCCCGMGCCCGGAGCCCCCGGCCCCGCGGACCCGGCCATGGCCCGGCYGTGCCGGTGAGTGAGCGGCTCCCGGGGCTGCGCTCGGGGCGGGGGAAGGAGCGCAGCCCTGGCTCGGGGGGTGCGGAGCGCTACGGGCGTGGGGTCCCCCTCCCGCAGACCCCGGGCTGCGACATCGGCGATGGTTCGGGCAGGCCCGCGGGGTGCAGGGCTTTGCCTGGACCTTGGGGTGCGAGCCCTGCGCACCCCCGTGCAGGGACCGCGCGAGTTCTTTGGTGGGTGGGAGTCTGTCTGTCCGCCCGGGAAGATGAACGGAGCGGGAGACGCGTCCCCRGCACCACTTGAAAAGTGCAGCTTCAACTTTTGCCGCTTGATAAGATGCTTGGTAGTGAAAACTTTGCAGATGGGTATGCGCAGCTCAATGTGCCGTGCGCTGCGTTGGGTTTGGAGTGGGTTTTTGGACAGCTTTGCAATCACTGGGCAAGAAGCGCCTAGAGAAAGCACAAATGCTTATTTTCCTTTTCCCCCGTTACCATCTTGGGATACTCATGATGTCCAAAGGGCAAGTGCCCGGCAGAGCAGMCACCCATAGCCCAGTGCAGGATGGACATGGAAGAGCTGCAAGGGAGCTCCTAAAGGGATTGGTGACTGTGTTTGGGCCAAGGTTGAACAAGGGATAAACCCAGCGTCAYTGACTCTTGGATACGGGTGCAAATTACGGGACTTGTGTCGACAGCCCAGAATCACGAGCCATCCACAGCTCTCTGGYGCTGCCCGTGCCTGAAGTTTGGTGGTGACTCGATGGCTGGAAAATCGGCAGGGCTGTGCCAGAGGGATGCGCTTACGTTTCCACTTCTCCCCATATCGTGTTGTAGCTCTTGCACGTTGGGGTGGGCTCAGGTTTCAGCCTGCATCAGTGTCCGAAATGCTGAGCGCTCCTAAAGCGCTGAATCAGCTCTTCGGAGAAAGAATCTGGGTGGACAGAACRGGGCGCTGGGTCCCACTGTGGAACGGTTTGTCGTGGGGGACAGAGATGAGCAGCGAGTGAGGCTGACACCCGCTTTGGAGAGAGGCTGTAGTGCTCGTAGGGTGGTAGATGACACGTTCCAGATGGTACGACTTGTACCAGCTGGAATTGGGCTTGGGGCCCACCGGACAGTGGCGAAGACACCAAAATCTCTGTGGCTGTGTATCTTACATGGCAAAAGTGGGAAATTAAATAAGCTGATAGCATCAGTATTTGGTGCTCTGCTTTTGCCGCTGTTGGGCGTGAGATCTGATGGCCCTGCAGGTGTTGAGGAGCTGATTGCCTGGCTCAGGGGCACCCCATGGACCACAGTTTCAAAGCCAGGCTTCCTCCAACTCCCCCAGAGCCTTTAGGGCTTCTCCAAGGTGGACAAAGACTTGTCCTTGAAGGGAGAGCCCTRGAGCTTTCTCTCCCTCATGTCCAATGTACTTTGATACAAGTGATCCAGGAGAACTCATTTTGTTTTAAAGTCTCCACAAATCGTCGCTGGTCAGATAAATTCAGGCTCTGTGATGTRCCTCCAGGCAGGGGAGAGCAAAAGCCTCTGGTCATGGTTTAGTCATGAGACGAAAGTACCATGAGCTGTGTGCAGGGTTGAAGTGAAAACCCACCTTATTAAACTTTATCTTGGTAATTGGCACAGGGTGAAGAACAAAGAAATATTGTAAAGSAGGAATTGTCAGGGGTGTTAAATATTAAGTTGTCTGCTGCCAGAATTGGTTCCCGATRGCTGTTTTGTATTCATGGTCAAACACTGGATGAGATGTCTAAATGGGTTTGGAGCATCACTTGACACTGGAAACTTTAAAGGACAAAACTGGGCTGCAGAGTCACGATTCCAATAATAAAGGTGAAAGTACTTAAGGCTGGCCAGAGCTAATGCCTCAGCTTCAAATCTCCTGCCTCCTCTTGCAGACAGAGCAAGGTGCTGSCAGTGTGTCTGCGTTTTGCAGATGAGCTCTGTATTCACATGGCTACCTTGGATTTGGGGTTTATCCTCTGGGTGCCCCGTGCTGTTTAATCCTAGTGTACAAGCCAGCCAGAAGCAGTGGGACAGCTTGTTTCTTTTCACAGAAAGCAGCCTCATTACACTTTTGGATCATGACTCTGCTTAAAGTCACAAGATTTGGGGCAGAAAAAAAAAACAAAAAAAAAAACCAAAAAAAAAAAAAAACCACCCCAAACCCTGTGTTGAATTTTGGGTTTGGTTTTTTTATTTTTCATTTTGGTTTCTGATTCTGGCGCTCCTGTGAGAGCAGGGAGGGGAGATGCTCAACTGGCAGGGAGGTGGGATGCCCGYTCGGGTTTCGGGAGCCGAGGCAGGTGGAAGCGTTCTCCTGCCCGGGCTCCGCTCTCCTTGGCACACCCCGGCCGGAGGGTTGGCTGCTCGCACATCCGTCACGGTGCCTGAGAAAACACGGCGGTGACGTGCTGGTCCCCTCCTCCTGCCCGCGGACACCCGCTGCTCACGGAGCGGCCAGCTCGGAGCCCCGGAACGCCCCCCGCCATGGAGAGGCTGSAGCCGCCGTGGAGATGTAGCGGTGCTCCTTTTTGACGGGCTTTAAAAAACGTCTGTGGTGGAGCCGGGAGGCGGGCAGGGATCCCCGGAAAGCCATGGCCAGGTAAGTCGTGCCCCGGCGGGATGAGCTGCGTCCTGCATGGCCCTGTCCGTGTCCGACAGCCGGGAGTGGTGGGGTATTTGCAGCAGCCCTGACAGCAAGCGTCTGTCACTTCGCAGGAGGGGCAGAGAGCCCCCTTACCCCAGCAGGAACCCCTCTCAGKCCAGGCAGTGTGCCGATCCCTGCTCTGACCACAGCAAGGACGGTGAAGGTGGGGGGTCCCCTGGGGTGGAGGCACCGTGTCCCCTTCGCTGTCCCTGCAAAGGCAGAGTTGCTGCTCTGGCTCAGGGMCGGGTGTCTGTGCCACACACAGCCCCCCGGGGTGGTTTCAGTGTTTTAGGGATAAACTCAGAGCTCCAGGGTGACCCRGCGTGGGATTTGGGGCAATCCATCGGATTAGGGAGCAGTCAGTGCCTCTGATCCATGTGGAGTCAGAGTGTGTGGGGAGCAGCTCTGTGCTCTGTGCCAGGGTTGTCACCAGGGTGCCCCCACCCATCCCACCTGCTCCCATCAGCACCAAGCAGGAGGAGCAGTGCTTTCACCCTATTTGACTCCAGAAAGCCCTCCAGAGAACTCTGGTGCTCTGCTGCAGACCCCCTCCAAGGGAACCCCCAGGAAGGGTTTGTTTGTCCCCCATCTCMGGTGTGCAAAGTCCCTTTGTCACGGCTGGTTCCCTGCAGGGCGTTCCAGACTGGGCACGTGGAGGTTTTTTTGCCCCCACAGCTCTTTTTTTTGCCCCCACAGAGAAGAATTTTCTCCCTTAATTTGCTGTCCTAATTCCCTGCTCATGTGTGGGGTTGGAGATGCCTCCTGCKAAAATCTGCAGTGTTTCTGTACTGTTTCCTGAGCTCAACTCCTGCCAAGATGCTCGGGGAGGAGGTGGCAGCACCTTGCAGTGGAAGTGGGAGGGTTTCCTGGCATCCCGGCATGGGAAGTGGGTGTGTGTCCCCAGCAGGAGCTTGGCTCCCAGCACGGTTCAGACCTGACCCTGCCAGGGCAACAGAGACCAGTTATATGTTATTGGCCCTCTTTAAATGAATGTCCTAATTGCAAAGTGGCTGGGGTTAGTGGTGCTGTGGATCTCGCAGCCCGTGGTTAGCGGTGGTGTTGGTAAAAATAGAAGCGGTCAAAAAATGGATTTTTATTTTTACTCCACTAAGTGTGTCCTGCTCAGATGTTTTGCTTTCATCTCGATTTGAGGCAAGGCGACTCGCTGCTTCCACAGAACACGCAGAAAAAGCTTTGTTTTGGGTCAGCTAGGAAGCTCCGGCACAGCAAGCTGCAAACATGCTGTTTGACTTTGACGCTCTCCCTCCTCGTTTGCTTAGGGGGTTTTTTTTGTTGGGTTTTTTTTTTTTTTTTTTGAGGAGTAAAAGGTCACCACAATGTCATCTTGGAGAAAAATAACAAGTTAGCATTACACAAGAAAAAAAAACTGTTGAAACAGGCAGTGTGTGAGCAGGCACCTCTGCGGGCTGCAGCTTGTGAGTGAGAGGCGGAAGGYGTCTCCGGGGAGCTTGGGAGACTCAGCTCTCACCTGGGACACAGCCAAATCTCCCACTGGAGAATGTACATTTTGTTAACAAGGCAAGAAGATAGAGGGCACKGTCCTAAATTGGTTTTGGAGACCTCCTTGGCCCATCACTGCACTGCGTGATGGCTGCAAACACCCTTCTCAGCATCTTTGTTGAAGTGGTGTCCCAGTGGGCACTGTCCATCAGCCACAGGGTTTGATCCTGRCCCAGCCACAGCAGCCAGAGCAGGATTAAATGAACCAGCTCAATCACCCAGCGTGCACATCCCTCTGAGGCAGATCAATGTCCAAGGGACTCAAGAGGCTGCAAAACCTTTCTTAAAAAAAACCACATTATTTCTTTACTGGCAGTAGTAGTGATGGCTCCCTCGTGTGTGCCATGAGCTCCAGTCCATGGGGGGGAAAAGAAGGAAACAGCCTAAAAATAGAGCAGCTTCGAAGTAGTTCATAAATAATAAACCAGCTTCCTGAAAGGGAGATAAAAATCCAGAAACTCCCTGAAGCCCTGGGAGCTGCTGTCAATTTTAGATGGAACCATAGCAGCAGTATCAGATATTTCTTGGGCTTAAAACCCTAAATTAGAGTTGCCAAAGAAAACACCACTTCCCCCTCTTTTTTTGTAAAGAAAACGTGAAAATTCAAAAAAACCCACCTGTTTTTCCAAATAATTTGCAAGTCCTGCTTGGTGGAGGCTGTATTTTTTTTTTCCCCCCTTGAGCTTTGCAGTTCCCAGATAAGGCACAAGTGCGACACAGGTGTGCCGTGGAGTGACAGGTATTTGCACCTCTCTCTCTCTCTCTCTGTCTCTGGCATCCCAAAACTCCCAGTGCTGAGAGGGAGGAGGCTGGTTTGGGCTCGTCGTTCCAGTCTGTATTTCCAGAAGCATCCTGCCACTTAGGGCTTCGCTCAGCTGTGCTGGTTTTGGCCAAGGTCCTTCTGCAAACCTTCCTCCCCGCCATCCCTGGGATAGCCCTGTGCTGCTTCTGGTTCACCCTGAAGCCAAGGARGAGTTGAGAGAGGGATGAAAGGTTTATCCCAAACACAGCCTCATCCCACGGCGTCTTTTTTGCCAAATTTTAGCTGGGCTCAGCTGGCGTTGTGTCACACGTGCTGGGTGGGTGAGAGCCCAGTTTTCCTCTTGGGGGGACAGGATCTGGCGCTGGGTGACAGAGCTGGAGTGGCTGGAGCTGTCCCCATCCCGTGCCGGAGCTCCCKGCTGGCAAGTGAGGGCTCTGTGGGAGTTGGCCGTGGGACAAGGCGTTTAACTAAACCTATCGCCTGTTCCGGCTAATCGCTTCCTAATGCCTCTGTAATCCCATTTAAAGCAACTGGCTGTCTAGAAAGTTACTGGCTCCCAGGGGAGGGTTAGAATCACCCGTCTGGCTGCACAAAAAGTTCCCCCAACTGCAAGGTCTGGTCCGATACGTGCTTCAAGATGAATATAAACACAGAATGTTTTGTTTAGCCTACGCACAGATGCTGCTGTGGGTTCACACATGGGCATCCCTGTAGTGAAGCAGCAAGGTTTAGGTGGTGTTCAGGACCCCTTTCTCCTTCACTTTTCCTTTCCTGGGGTAAAAGATCTGTTTGAGGTGCAGAGAAATAGGTGTTCTGGATTGCCTCTGGCAGGGAGAGGGTTCTGTAATTAATTTTGGGTCTTTTTTCTTCCTTTTTATTAAGAAAAAAAAAAAAAAAAAAAAAAAAAAAGCTGACCTCTTAAGAGGGGATCTCTGCAACTAGTTTCATTTGTGCCCAAAAGGAGGGGTTTTTCCCCTCCATTTTTCCCGCGGCCAGCAGGTTTACAGCCCCAGAGCCTGGGGAGGAGGCGGCTGTGTTTGCTGGCACCAGGCAGATACCACGCAGCTGGTCTGCRGCTCTGCAGCTCCTCTCCCTCCCCGACTCCTCCTGCAGCTGCGTTTGTTGCTCGCTCTCCCATGTCCTTACTTTGCTTTTCCCCCCCGGATCCCGGGCGTTATGCTTGGCAGAGCCCAGCCAGGCCSTGGCCAAGGAAAAGCCATTAGGCTCTTGGCACAGCCCGCTTCCCCGGGGCCACGCAGGGGGGAGTGGGCTGGAGCTGAAACACAGCCTGGAGCCTTGCTGGATGGAGGAAGGGCCCTTTGGAGGTCCTGCACGGYTCACTCCCTTTTCTCCTAGAAAAGCAGGAAGCTGTTTTCAACCCAGAACTGTTGTAGATATCTGAGCGCACGGCAGGAGCCAGCCATGCTGTGCCACTCAGTGCATCCCCTAACCAGCTCTAAGCCCCTAACCCTTAAACCCAAAACCTGAGCTGCTGGTAYCCCAGCCCCATTTGGCTCTCTGTGAGCTATGGGATTTACCCACCTTCACTKCAAAGCATCACCCAGGTGGAGCAGCTGGGACATGCTTGGGACAAAGAGGTGGTGTTGSTGCAGATGAATTAAATCTGCCAGGGCAGCAGGGTGATTAAAATTAGGAGTGGCTGCATAGAATTCATTATGTGGTGTCTTTTATAGTTCTTAGTTATCCCTGTCTCTTAAAAGACACTGTCAGTGGGCTGATCTGGCTYCTGTTCAGCCTCCTTCTACTGCCACCCAATCTCCAGTCTTGCCTCACTGGAAGTGTTCCCAACAACAAAAGCATATTAATTATGGCAATGATTTGGTCCTTGTTGCCCCAGGGTTGTTCCCGGGTAGGGCTCAGGCTGTTCTCTGCATGTGGTGTCTTGCCTGGAGTAACTGGAGATGGTGCCTGGTGCCCAGAACACAGCACCTGGCACATCACAGACGGGCAGAGGGGGCCAGGGGGGCAAATGGATGACACACTGCCCCTTGATTCAGAGGTTCTCTGAAACTATTTATATCCTTTTCTTTTTCAGAGACGGGTGTTCTGGGACTCAGCGGAGGTTGGAGCTTTCCTAACAATCTGGTGTCTTCTCCTGAGAAGCCCAAGCGTTCTTCCTTCCCACTCCTCCACAAAAAGCTCCAGAGAAATCGCAGCACCATGTACACTTTCCTGCCYGAGAGCTTCACACCRGTGAAGCAGAAGCCCTCCAAGGAGCTGAGGCCCATGCTGGGGGCCATCCTGCTGGGCCTGATCCTGTTCATTGCCGCCGTGGTGGCCTGGTGCTACTACACGGTGTCCCTGCGGAAGGCGGAGCGGCTCAAGACGGAGCTGATGGACCTGCGGGCGGACGGCTTCGTCATCCGCAACCAGCACGGGGAGGTGGTGTTCCGGCTGGCYTTCCGCTCGGGCAGCCTGGACCTGGAGTCGTGCTCCAAGGAGGGCGAGATCCTGAGCTGCTCGCGCTCCAGCCGGGGGCCGCTCAACTTCTTCATCCAGACGGTGAAGCCCAAGGACACGGTGATGTGCTACCGCGTGCGCTGGGAGGAGCTGGCGGCCGGCCCGGCCGTGGAGCACACCATGTTCTGGGAGGACGCCCACTGGTACGGGGGCTCGGAGATGAGCACCCAGCACTGGCCCATCCGCCTGGCCGGCTACCAGGAGCCCGTGCCCTACGTCACCAGCGACGTCTACTCCTTCCGCGACAGCTTCGGCGGCATCCTGGAGCGCTACTGGCTCTCCTCCAAGGCGGCGGCCATCAAGATCAACGACTCGGTGCCCTTCCACCTGGGCTTCAACGCCACCGAGCGCGCCCTCTTCTTCCAGGCCCGCTAYAAGGACTCGCCCTACAAGCCYCCGCCRGGCCAGCAGCCCTTCCCCGAGCTCAGCTACCGCGTCTGCGTGGGCTCCGACGTCACCTCCATCCACAAGTACATGGTGCGCAGGTATTTCAACAAGCCCTCCAAGATCCCTGCYGAGAACGCCTTCCGATACCCCATATGGTCCACCTGGGCCCTCTACAAGAATGACATTGACCAGGATAAACTCTTGCGATTTGCTGAAAAGATCAAGAAGTACCATTTTAACTGCAGCCACATTGAGATCGATGACATGTACACCCARGCCTATGGGGACTTTGACTTTGACCCCGTCAAGTTCCCCAAYGTAACAGAGATGTTTGCAAAGCTGAGRGAAGATGGATTTAARGTCACTCTGTGGAYTCAYCCYTTYATWMACWWMRATTCMYCSAATTWTGRKGTGGGKATMGAGYGTCAGCTGTTCATCAAGGARCCCTCGGGGCGGCTGCCGGCCATGGTGGAGTGGTGGAACGGCATCGGGGCCATCCTGGATTTCACCAACCCCGCAGCCCGGGACTGGTTCCAGAGCCACCTGCGCCAGCTCCGGCACAAGTACGGCATCTCGTCCTTCAAGTTTGACGCGGGCGAGACCAGCTACCTGCCCAAGCAGTTCAGCACCTTCCGCCCRCTGTCRGACCCCAGCATCTGGTCCCGGCGCTACACGGAGATGGCCATCCCCTTCTACGAGCTGGCCGAGGTGCGCGTGGGCTACCAGTCCCAGAACATCTCCTGCTTCTTCCGCATCATTGACCGYGACTCYGTCTGGGGCTACGAGCTCGGCCTCAAGTCCCTCATCCCCACCGTGCTCACCATCAGCATGCTGGGGTACCCCTTCATATCTGCTGACATGATCGGGGGCAATTTTTTCCCCAATAAGACCAGYGGGGCGGTSGARATCCCCGACCGGGAGCTGTACGTGCGCTGGCTGGAGCTGTCGGCCTTCATGCCCTCCATGCAGTTCTCCATCCCGCCCTGGCTCTAYGACAAGCAGGTGGTGGAGATCGCGCAGAAGTTCACGGAGCTCCACGAGTCGCTGGTGGCCCCGCTGCTGCTGGAGCTGGCGGGGGAGGTCACCGACACRGGCGACCCCATCATCCGCCCCATCTGGTGGATCTCGCCCCGCGACGAGGCCACTCACCGCATCGACTCCCAGTTCCTCATCGGGGACACCCTGATGGTGGCCCCTGTGCTGGAGATGGGCAAGCAGGAGCGCGATGTCTACCTGCCAGCGGGCAAGTGGCGCAGCTACAAGGGGGAGCTGTTTGAGAAGACGCCGGTGCTGCTCACCGACTATCCCGTTGACCTGGACGAAGTCGCCTATTTCCTCTGGGTTTCCTAACAGGCTTCTTCATCAGCTTTGGAATAACCATGCCTTACCTAGGACCTTCTAACAAATAATAAATCTAATTGCACATTTCATTTGAGACTGGGGTGGAGGAAGGKAATAAAATAGACTTCACTGTTCTTGGGGATAATTTTTTTTTTTATTTGGGGATTGATTTTGTTTTTTTTTAATTTGGGTCTGGTGGTAGGCTCTGATTGGATTCCAATAGGCAGCAATTTATAGGTCAGAAGGGAGTTGTCAGTCTGTCTGCAGACATGTAGTAAACCCAATACCTTTTCAGTTCCCAAGGATTTCCAGAGTTGGAAGTTGGTTAGTGCCAGTGGGAAGTGTTCCTCGTCTTGTAGAAGCACCTGGCACTGAGCGTGGGGGTGTGTGCTGTGGGAGGGTTGTTACAGCACAGCCTGCCCTAAGTTTTGCAATATGGCAAATATATTCAAAAGGATATTTTTGAGAGCATAAAGCAAAATAGAGTTATATATATATATATATATACGCACATATTTTTTCCCCCTCTTGACTAGCATGGCACTGGACTAACGGTTGCCTCATGCTCCTGCTTTCCTGGGTACCAGGTGGGCCAGGTTACTCAAGTGATGCCCATATGTTCTAACTGAATGGATTGCTTATTTCCTGCTGGGACAGCTGTGTCTCACCTGCTCCCCAGTTTGAGTCCCTCTACAAAACTCTTTTCTGTGTGTTTTGCCCAGGGCATCAACACYGCCTCACCTAGAGCAGCACCACCCATACCAACATGTCCCATTTTTAAAAGTGTTTATGACCCCTCTTGGTCACATGATTATCCTGCTGATATCATCCCGTTTGGATTTTAAGGACAGACGAGGTTTGTTGCTGGCAGAAGGGCTGCCTGGAGCCAAGCTGTCCTCAAACACTCCTTGCGGCGCTTCCCGGGGAACAGCCGGTTCCCACAAGCTGCACGTGTCACGGATTGACAGGGACGTTTGCCGATAGCTGGCTTGCCTGTGGGTGGAAAACACCGGCTCTATGAACTGATGGGTCTGTGCCAGAGGGTGTTTTCACTGCGTCCACGGAGATGTTCTCATCTGACGCGAAGTTGAGCTAATACCCATCTCAGGTCGCMGTTAGAGGTGATGATTTTGTTGAGGGTTTTCCCGAGTGTGTCCTCTCCCACTGGGAGAGTCCCAGGGACCTTCCTCAGGCAGTGTTTGTGTTGCTGGAGGTRGGATTGCTGTCAGAGGCTTCTGGAGGGCACGTGGGGTGATGTGATCCTGAGCCCCAAATCCCCAGCAGCTGCCTCTTTTGCAGATTTCCCATTTGGTTTTCTATGGGAAGACGCATTTACAGAGACCCAAGACAGAGCAAATAGGATTGATGTCTGGCAGCTTTCTTCCCTGGGGCAAGAATTCCTGGCTGTGCCCTGATTGGGAACTTTTGTTAGTCCCTAAATTTTTTATGAACTTCTGCAGAATTGAACTGTGATGGGTGGGAAGGGCTGGGGCACCCTGCCCAGGCTACAGCCAGCCAAGGAGAGTCAGCATCCCTGGAGCTTCTTCTGGGATTATGTGTGTGCTGGGCATGGGTCTGCCACGTAGGGGGATGGTGCATGATTTGGGTGAGGTTGGGTAGCAGTGACGATCTTTCTCAAAGCCCATCTCCTGCCACAGGGCTTTTCAGGAAGCCCTGAAAGAAGAAAAGGAGATGTACTAAATTTGGGGGTTGTGACAGGGTGCAGGAGCAGAAATTTAGGTGTTAGGGGCAAAATCTAAAATGCTTTTAAAGTTAGAAAGGAAGTGAGGAAGTCTGGTTCGTTGGACTCTCTGGAGCATTTGTTAAAATCTGAATCTGTCCTGTATAATTTAATCTCAAAATGAGATATAGGGGAGCCTCATGGGTCCTTGCCCAACTGGAGCACAGGMATGTCCCAAAGTCTATTTTTCAGGCTTTTAGTTCTTTAGTTTCAAGTTTCTTCTTGGCCTCGAGTGCAAATAATGGTTATGTTACAAGTTACAGACACCCTCTGGCCAGGGGTTAATCCTGGAACCTCAGTGTCACTCCTCAGGGCAGTGGCAGAATTTGGCCCATGTTTGTAGGGTGGAAGTGAAGGTGAGGAGCTCCTGGAGATGAGTCTGGCCAGAGCCTTCAAGAAGGGCCAGGTGTGGAGGARGCTTCTGCACCCCCAGAAGTACATGAAGACCATGCTTTGAGAGGCTCCAGCTCTTCCCTGTCAACCTTTGCTTATTAAATACTTGTCATCCCTTGGCTTGGGAGTCATTAGGTGGAGGAGATGTTGCTGCATGGCTCTGTTGCTAGTGCAGAACTGGGATCCTTGGCACAGAACTTCATGGGACGGATCACAGCATGACCATGAGATACTGTCTTCCCTTCCTCTGGTTCTGTGCCACTCACTAATGAGGAATGAGGCTGAAGAGAAACACAGCATCCCTGTTTGTATGCTCCTGCTGTTAAAATGGTGGGAGCAGCCAGATGAGTGCCTTCAYTCTCCTTGCAGTGGTTTCAGGCACTGTCAGGAAGGTCATGGAGGAGATTCTCCATTAGACATGCTGTCTTCTTTCCCCTTCCCTCAAAAGARAGGATTTTATTAACAAAGTTACGATTTTCTTTAATTTAAATATATTAATGAATGGATAAGATTATAGAGAACCCTTATTTTTCTAAATGTTGTGTGTAGGGCAGGTAATAAGTGTCCGTGGTTGTTCAGTGGTTCAGCAAGAAGAAAGGTAAAGCTGCTGAGAGGACTAAGAGTTGGGGATAGGTTCAGCAGTGCTGCCTTAAGCTGTCTCACAGGTTTCTCGGTTCCCTTCCATCCAGCTTTTTACCAAAACCACTATTTCTAACACTATGCTGTAGAGGATCTCTCAGACCTTGTAGACCAGAAGCTCTGCACAGATACCTTGGGAACTGCTGCTAGGGATATTTCTCTGATTTACACCGTGGGTCATTGGCCAAAGTCTTGTCTCAGCCAAGAAAAAGCCCAAAACCAGGTTTGGGAGTTGGATTCAGCCTTTTCACACATGATGCTTATGTGATTAAATTTTGAAGCTTACACTGTTGCGTATGAGGTTTTCTGGATGCTTGTGTTTGTACATGCTGTCCTTTGTCAGACTGTAATGTTGGTGGGTCTGTTTTTAACCACTTTTCTAATTCCTAATTGGTATGAACTGTAACATGAATTGCCTTGATTGATAAAATTTTGGAAAACAAAAAGAAGTTTAACTGTCCATCTGTACCAAGTTGGTGGGGCTGGTGSTTCAGGGAGATTTGGGGCTTTTTTTACCCTAGTCTTCACTGAAATCAAGATTGAGATTATTGTTTTATTTAAATCTTGCATCCATRCAGCTTTGATGCATGTTTTAAAAGGAGGAGCGGGCAGTGACCCCACACTTGTGTTTGCAGTGGTGGCAGACGATCCCACTCAGTTGAGGATTGTCCTTCCTTAGGTCCTGACAGCAAAGAGAATAGCTGTGCCTTCGGGCTGGCCTGGAAAAGGCCATGTCCAGGTGAGCCCCAGTGTTGTGTCAGCACTTGGGAGTGAGGACCATACACACCAATAGGTTCATGCCCCTGTTTCTACTGACATCCACACCACTCAGGGGTTTGCTAGTCCATGCTGCTGTCAGAAGACACGTACTTCAAGACTGTTTGTAGRGATGAGCAAGAGGAGCTTGTTCTCAGCTTCTCTTGGGCGCTCCAGAAGGTTCTTCTGATTGTCACCCTGGTGTCCCTTTCCAGATGCCTCTGACAGCAAGGACACGGATGGAGTAGATGTTTGTGGCTGTGGGAGTACCAAGAATGGAGCATATAAGACTCATTTAGGAGCCTGCCTTGCCCYACATCACCCCCTTTGCCCCAAATAATGTTTTTCCTTCCGTTTCCATTGCTACCACAMAAACCATAGCTGCCTTGTGCCACTGTGCATCACTAACAGCAGCCAACACATACAATGTGGCTCGAGGGTTGAGAGGGACATCATTTAACTCCTTGTGCAATAAAAGACATTTTCCCAATGCTTTTCCTTTGACTCCTTCCTTGGATGCATCCATACATTTGGCTGATAATCATGTGGGGGATGAAGGTGGCACTGCTGAAGACCTGTGGGCAGGTTGGCCACTTAGAGCACTCATAGCCTTGCAGGAGCACAACTGGAGCACAAGTTGGATCCTCAATGGTGCACAGGTCCTCCTAGGAATCAATGCTTTGGGTCTGAGTTTGATTTACATCCTCCCAAGCCCTGGTGCTGTTTSTAAACAGGGTGTCTAAGGCTCACCAAAGACATGGGGACAGTGAGTGACCCAGGTCTGTGCTGGGTCCCAGCTACGTGGCAGTGCTTGAAAACACATCCACAGCTGTGCATTGCACAGGGAGGAGTGCTGGTGGTGAAATCCAGATCCCACAGGGGCTACAGCAGAAGCCCARTTCGTTGTAAACTGGATTTTAAGGAGGTGTCTGTTGTTGACAGCACAGTGGTGGCTGCTGGCCCAGAAGATCCGAGTTCTGAACGTGTCCATGCCTGCCTGAAATCGCAGTTTTGAGTAAAAGGAATAAAAAAGCCARCAGGCAGGCAGAGCCCCAGGCTGGGGGGGACTGTGGTGAAAGGACAGACTGACARCAGCAGAATCCCTCTGGRCACATGGTCAGGCTGGCAGCCTCAGGAAAAAAACAATCCCCCTCAATCTGGGCAGGACCTGCCAGTCTACAGATTCCTTGGACTGGCAGAGCCATAAAGATGGTTTGTGCTGACATAAAATCCCAGAGGCCAAGTAGAGAAAAACAGATTTTTATTTGTCTGGGTTTTTTATTTTGCCTGTAGGGCTGGGTGTTTTTTAGCTCAGCAGTCATCAAAGATTAAGGGCAATAAACTCCCCCTGCCAAAAAACAGGCAGCCTGTGGTGAGCCAAGTTCTGGGGCAGAGTCTCAAGTCACCAGCACCTCCAGCAAATATTACTCGTGCTCAGCACTAGGAGTTCAAAAAATCAACCAAGACTGAGGCTTAGCAAGACAAAAAAGATGTTCCTCCACCCCCCCTGTGTGGCAGGAGGGTGTGGAGAGGTGGCTGTGGTGCCATCTGTTCACAGGACGCCTCCAGCACCTGTCCCCTGTGCCTCCCTGTGGCTCAGCTGTACAGCACAGAAAGGCAGTGAGGGATGGATTGGAAAGAGATGGGGGAGACATTTTTTTGCAGCCATGGGACCAGGCTTTTCAAGTCATCCCCAGAGTTTGCAGGAAGTCTCAGTGTAGCCTGCTTTCCCCCATCAGCCTGTGGTGCAGGTGGGTGGCAGAGCTGTGTGTGCATGCAGAGCACACTGATCACAGGGCAGGGGTACCGTGTGAGGGTGATGGGTCTGGCTCTCCCACCTCTCCTCAGCACTGTGGGCATGAGCTTTGCAGAAAACTGTTTTTTTGGTGCAGCAGCAGCAGCCAGAGGAATTTTGCTGGGCCAGCATGTGACCCTCTGGCTACTCCAAGTCCCTCTGGACCCAGATATCAGGGACCACTTGGGGCTTCAAAGACACAACTGAGAAAGAATTCAGAAATACTTTCTCAGCCCTGGGGGAGATGCATCTTGGAAATTACTATCCTGGAGTGGGAGAAAGCCCGTGGTAAGGATTCAATGGTGTCCTATTAATCCTGAGCACAACTGCCAGACTGAGCATTGCTTTCCCTTTCACATCTCTGGATTAAAGCATATTTTCCCTCTCAATTGCCACATCAGTGATTAYTGCAGCTCCAGCTGCTTTCAGGGGCAGCAGCATCTAAAAGATGTTCTGGCTCATCCCAGTCAGCACTGTGTTGTGTCCATGCAGGGTCCTCGTGGCACAATGGATCCATTGATGGATAACAGGTCTGAGCCAGTTTTGGGGCTGCTTCACCTGGGCTTCAAAATGTTCCCCAAACCCATTTTGTTYACTTTTTGTATGGAGCAGCTCTGGGGCAAACCCATAAACAAAGGATATTTCTCTTGCCCTGGAGCCACAAATAGCTTTACCTCCCAGGTGCCTGCTAGTGTGCTAGGGCCAGCAAAAAGATCCATTTTTCACTTTGGGAAGGCACACTGCAGCCCAGAGAGAGCTCCCARGCTCCCTTAAACTGCTCAGTCATGTCAATTTTAAATTTCTTTTTGCTTAAAACCTGCAGGGAATGTTGCACCAAGAGTGGAGAGCGTTTCACAGCCAGCCTGGTTACTCCAAGCCTTCAGGAGCTGCTGAGACACCTTCMTTCTGGAGAGGTCACCTCTAGGGGCAGAAGGATACAGAAGGGTCCAACTGTGATGGACAGGGATCACCATTAACACGGGATGGGAAAACATTCTCAGTGGGGAAATTGAGGCAGCTGGGGACTCAGGCTGGTTTGTTAATTGTCTAAATTCTCTGAGGAGACCGATTTTTCCTTGGTCCCCGACAGATTGCACCTTTGGCCTAAACACGGTCCCAAAACACACATGGATTCTACTAATGAATACCTACATGGCTTGGTATTAGGATTTAGTCTTGACTGCCATGAGATTTCACCACATTTTACAGAATTACCTGAATGCACACTGTGAACACAGTTTTCAGTAAACCTTTAAAAAAGACATACAAGAGATGCCACAGCATTAGCAAGGGTTGTAGCTTTCTTCTTGCTCAGATAGCTCAGGCCATGGGAAATGCAAACTCCTGACTCCTGTAGCAGCTCCCATCTGATGTGCAGGCTGAAAACTGGGTGCCCTCCTCTTCAGGAAAACCACAGACTGCTTTTTGTAAAAACAAAAAAGTACTTTGCTGCAGCTGCCTCCTTCACTAAGCATATGAAATTTTCAGTGTGCTGGGAATCATCTGTGAAACTGTGTAACAAAGGGGTCCATGTAATTGCCTTTGGACACAAGGAGCGTGCATGGCATTTCTTGGTGGGAAAAGATTATGAGCAAAGACTGTGTTTCTATACATTACACTTRTCACTCTGCAGTAACAAAGACACCGATTCAATACATTTTAATAAGTTATTGTAGAACTCTTTGCCACACAGAACAGAGGCCTTAGTGTTTCCTTCTAATTTCATTCTGAAGTATTSCTACTTTAAAAATTATTAAAATTCCCAGTTTCTTAAAACCAWTGGTTAATTAATCCCTGARTCCATTGCACAGGTGAYRAAGAAGCCTGTTAGGAAACCCAGAGGAAATAGGCGACTTCGTCCAGRTCAACGGGATARTCGGTGAGCAGCACCGGCGTCTTCTCAAACAGCTCCCCCTTGTAGCTGCGCCACTTGCCCGCTGGCAGGTAGACATCGCGCTCCTGCTTGCCCATCTCCAGCACAGGGGCCACCATCAGGGTGTCCCCGATGAGGAACTGGGAGTCGATGCGGTGAGTGGCCTCGTCGCGGGGCGAGATCCACCAGATGGGGCGGATGATGGGGTCGCCYGTGTCGGTGACCTCCCCCGCCAGCTCCAGCAGCAGCGGGGYCACCAGCGACTCGTGGAGCTCCGTGAACTTCTGCGCGATCTCCACCACCTGCTTGTCRTAGAGCCAGGGCGGGATGGAGAACTGCATGGAGGGCATGAAGGCCGACAGCTCCAGCCAGCGCACGTACAGCTCCCGGTCGGGGATCTCCACCGCACCCTCCGTCTTGCCAGGGAGGAAGTTTCCTCCAATCATATCTGGCAGTACAAATGGGTACCCCAGCATGCTGATGGTGAGCACGGTGGGGATGAGGGACTTGAGGCCGAGCTCGTAGCCCCAGACGGAGTCRCGGTCAATGATGCGGAAGAAGCAGGAGATGTTCTGGGACTGGTAGCCCACGCGCACCTCGGCCAGCTCGTAGAAGGGGATGGCCATCTCCGTGTAGCGCCGGGACCAGATGCTGGGGTCYGACAGYGGGCGGAAGGTGCTGAACTGCTTGGGCAGGTAGCTGGTCTCGCCCGCGTCAAACTTGAAGGACGAGATGCCGTACTTGTGCCGGAGCTGGCGCAGGTGGCTCTGGAACCAGTCCCGGGCTGCGGGGTTGGTGAAATCCAGGATGGCCCCGATGCCGTTCCACCACTCCACCATGGCCGGCAGCCGCCCCGAGGGCTCCTTGATGAACAGCTGACACTCTATACCCACCTCATAATTCGGTGAATCTATGTGTATAAAGGGATGAATCCACAGAGTGACCTTAAATCCATCTTCCCTCAGCTTTGCAAACATCTCTGTTACATTGGGGAACTTGACGGGGTCAAAGTCAAAGTCCCCATAGGCYTGGGTGTACATGTCATCGATCTCAATGTGGCTGCAGTTAAAATGGTACTTCTTAATGTCTCTTGCAAAAGCTAGAACTTTATCCTGGTTTATATCCTTTTTGTAGAGAGCCCAGGTGGACCATATGGGGTATCGGAAGGCGTTCTCRGCAGGGATCTTGGAGGGCTTGTTGAAATACCTGCGCACCATGTACTTGTGGATGGAGGTGACGTCGGAGCCCACGCAGACGCGGTAGCTGAGCTCGGGGAAGGGCTGCTGGCCCGGCGGGGGCTTGTAGGGCGAGTCCTTRTAGCGGGCCTGGAAGAAGAGGGCGCGCTCGGTGGCGTTGAAGCCCAGGTGGAAGGGCACCGAGTCGTTGATCTTGATGGCCGCCGCCTTGGAGGAGAGCCAGTAGCGCTCCAGGATGCCGCCGAAGCTGTCGCGGAAGGAGTAGACGTCGCTGGTGACGTAGGGCACGGGCTCCTGGTAGCCGGCCAGGCGGATGGGCCAGTGCTGGGTGCTCATCTCCGAGCCCCCGTACCAGTGGGCGTCCTCCCAGAACATGGTGTGCTCCACGGCCGGGCCGGCCGCCAGCTCCTCCCAGCGCACRCGGTAGCACATCACCGTGTCCTTGGGCTTCACCGTCTGGATGAAGAAGTTGAGCGGCCCCCGGCTGGAGCGCGAGCAGCTCAGGATCTCGCCCTCCTTGGAGCACGACTCCAGGTCCAGGCTGCCCGAGCGGAAGGCCAGCCGGAACACCACCTCCCCGTGCTGGTTGCGGATGACGAAGCCGTCCGCCCGCAGGTCCATCAGCTCCRTCTTGAGCCGCTCCGCCTTCCGCAGGGACACCGTGTAGTAGCACCAGGCCACCACGGCGGCAATGAACAGGATCAGGCCCAGCAGGATGGCCCCCAGCATGGGCCTCAGCTCCTTGGAGGGCTTCTGCTTCACCRGTGGGACATTTTCGGGAAAGTGCCTTTCTTTGGCATCCCTCTTTGGAACGTGTCCATGTTTTCCTGAGCGGTGGGTAATCTGACTGTCCATTATTCCTTGGCAGCCTCAATGCCTGGTTAGAAACTTTGCTGCTGAATTCTTTTATTCCAGCTGGTGGAGAGAARATCCAAGATGCTGCATGAGGCTGTTCACAGCGTCCTTTCCTAAGCTTGGCCGCTCACACCTGCAATGTTATTTCATAAACAGAGAGTTATAAATACAAAAAAAAAACCCAATTAAATCTTGCTGAGGGCCGCAGCTCCTCTGCTCTGTCTGCAGCCCAGCCTCCCTGCCCTGTGGCTCTGGCTCACTTTGCTCCGCAGTGGCAGCCTGCTCACTGGCATTTGGATTGAGCTTTTTTGGAGCACGTCTGTGCCAGGATTCCTATGACCCTCTCTTGGCTGCATTCTTTCCCACAGAGAAAGGGTGAAGGGATGAAAGTCAGACCAGAGCCTGGAGGAGAATGGGGCCAGGGGAAGGGGCTGGTTTCTGAGCATAAAAGCTGGACATCACAGGGTGATCTGTGTTTACATTAATTATGAGCCCTGCTGGATTTACTCTCCTGTCCACAATCTCTCTGCATTAAAATGCAGGCAGAGAAACGCTGCGCTGAATTCTTCAGCTTCCACCTGCTGCTCCCAGGGATGGAGCTGGAGAGTGATATTTTATCTCCCTGTACTTTGCTCCTTCCCTGAGCTGTATGGGGGTGTGGGTATGTGTTTCTCTTTCTCCTTGACTGCCTGCCCTGTTACCTATTCCAAAGCAATCACCCCAGAAAAGCCCCTCTGGCCCTGGCAGGGGAAAAAGGGAATCTTCCACTRTATCTCTGTCTCTGTTTTCCTGTTATCATTCAGTTCTCCTAATTTATCACAACTCTGTAGCTCCTGGGCTTATGCCAAGCAAGATGCTGTACTGCAGTGGGGATGGAAGATGTTTTGGTACATTGTTTGAGGATAGGTGGATTAAATGGAAGCTGTTGCAAGACCAGGAGTACATCAACACCTTGTTTTGCTGAAAAATGCACAGAGATGAYGTGTTCCAGCTGCATCAAGCAACACCAAGTCAGCTGATGCAGCACAGCTCAGCATCTGCTGCCAACAAAAACACAGTCAGGAAAAACTGAGGCTGGTGGCTCAAGGCAAAGCATTCAGTGCAACCAGGCTCATGGCTCCCCTGGCCCCTCCCTGGGGTCTCTGTGATCTGCCAGGACAAAAACTTGCAGGAGCAGCCTATTTGGAGAGGGGGAAAAGGCACCAGCTTGCTCATCTGAGCCGTGCCCAGCAATACATGGCCCGGTGTGTTTATCCATGTCACCATGACATCGGTATCTAAATATACAGAGATGATAAGCCACCCAGGGAGCCATYAAAAAGGCCAGAGGTCACCACATTTTAGATCGATCACAGCAGATCCCAAACCACCCAAATTAGCTGCCTGGTTAGTTTTTGACGTGCTTTCTTGGAATGAATAAGATTTAGCTGAGAAAAAGAGCTGGAGTGGATACGAGTGTTCCCAGGCAAGCCCTGGTCARGGGAGGGGGGTAAGAAGGAAGGTTATTGCTGCCCCAAAGAGATGGTGATCCAGGACAGGGCTGGTTTTGGGGAGCAGGTTGGATTACATGTGCTCAGGGCACTCTGCCAGCCCCAAAGTGCTCAGACCTGGCAGTGTCCCCAGTGCTGGCCTGGCTCCTGACACAGCTTTGCAGCTCCAGCCCGGGTGGTTTCCAGTGAAACCCTCATGTTTTTGCAAAACAACATTTTCACTTTGAAGGTGTTGTTATTTGCTGGGGTCAGTCCTCAGCTGCTGGCTTTGACGCTTTCCTCCTCTTCTTCCTTCCTCCTTTTGGCCTCCCAGCCAGCCTGGAGACAGGACTCTCCTTTAAGACAAGTTGCACCATTTTCCAGGGTGAAAAAACAAGGAATGGGAAAATAGATTTTTCCCCTTTTTTGTTTATTTCCCCCCCCCCTTTTTTTTTTTTTTTTTTGGCAATATTAAGCAACACATTAAAAACCCCAAAACACAGGGACATAATTACTCAAAAATCCATACAAGAACAAAGGATGTGAAGGAAGTATCCAAGCTTTCTATGCAGTGATTTCACTTCCAGATAGTTGCTTTAAATTCCTTGATTTCCCCAGGAGCAGAAAAATCATATACAAGTGATCATCAGGATTCGTGAGCCATGCTGTCCCATCCCAGGGTTTTTTGGGTTTTCCTCACTCCTGTGATGCAGTGGGATGCCACATTGATACCCCAGCCCTGCCCYTCACAGAGATGAGGTGAGATGTGAGTGGTCAGTGGGGAGAGCAGGCACTGGCATTTCTGGAGGCAGCACAGGGTTTCCMAGGATAGATTCCACCAGGGTAAAAGGGTTTCTAAAGCTGCACTCTCAACGTTTTAGACTTTTGTCTCCTGAAAGCATTAAACATTTGCTGGCCTAGCTGGCAGCTTGAGTGATGCCCAGGGGTGATGGGAAGGACTTTTGCTAAGGGGTGCACAGAGGTGACCCAGAGGCCAGATCCAGCCCTATCCTTGCTCCATCTGTGGGGTTATGGCATCACAGAGTCCCTTACCCGTGAATATTTAACTGGTCCTTGCCAAGCCTCTCTGCTCTTCCAAGCCCTTTATTAATCCATCAGAGTGCAAGTGCTTCCAAGCCAGGGTGGGCTGAATTCTCCCCCAGTGCCCTGGAAGCCAGATGTGCCTGGGATACAGGCACTGTTGTGTTATATTTCAGCTGCTTTATCAGCTGCTGTTCAGGTATGGATCTGGCCCTGCCAGTCCCCCAGGCTGAAAGGAGCCAGGATTCCTCACCCCAAGGATCTTAGCAACCCTCAGCATGCACAGATTAAACATTGACATATCCGGCACTCTGATACGTAGAAAATGAGCCAGGACTTTAGACCCTCTTATAGATAAACAGGATCTTCGAGGGTTTCAGGTGATGAAACACAGATCAGCCAGCTCGAAGGGCAGCAACACACCTAAACCCCTTAGTGCACCTACCCTCAGAACYTCCTTCCTCCTCCAGCCCAAATCTATCCCCAGAACCTCCCCCAGTCTCTTGGTCTGTGTGTCACAAACTTGTCAGGCTTCCATTCAGGTTCCAGCTATGTGATTCCTGAATCCTCAGATTTTCACCATTCTAAGACGCTGAGATTGGCTCACTTGGTGCTAATAGCACCAAGGTCATGGTTTCGATCCTTTTATGGGCCATTCACTTAAGAGCTGGACTCAAGGATAATCCTAGTGAGTCCCCTYCAGCTCAGCATATTCTCATGATTCTGCATGTTTACCTTCCTGCTGGTTCAGGGAGAGTATTACTCTTTAGAGAACCCATCAGGAAACAATTCTTTAAATAGAGGCATAGTTTCCCATATTGAAATTCTTTTTATTACAGGTTATCAAACACTTAGCTACCATCAAGTGCTCTTAGGGAGAATATACAACATGTCCTAGAAAGAACCGTAGGTAGCTAAACATAATAAACCATAAACAAGCTACTGCCCTATCAAACTCTGCAAGAACTGATTAATCATTTACCCAGTCCTTTCAGACTGTGTCAAATGGGCCTTTTTAGCAGAAAAGTCATGCGAAGTAGAAAGCAGTTCCCATTAGCTCTCATTTCCCGCAGCAGCTTGGCAAACATGGGTGGTGTATGGGAGATTTATTGCTACAAGGGGCCCAGGGAGGCTTGCTCACCATTTCTCCTGTGCATACAGATGATGAGAGAAAAGAAGTATCTGCTGTCTCTGAAGCTGAGAATGGAAAGCCACGGTTATCGCATGAGCTGCCACAGATTAGCTACAAAACGAACAAGGTTTTGTAAAAAAACAAGGTGGAAGTAGCTGGGGGATGGATGCAGAGGGTGGGGTGACACTGACAAAGATGGTCTGCAGTCCATGTGGTGTTGCAGGTAGGGGCACACAACAGCACAGAACACTTACAGAGCACCTGGAGCAGCACGAGGAGATGGAAATGAAGGACACAGAGTCTGTCCCTGAGAGCAGTGCAAGATCCTGCTCCACCTGGAAATACATTCACTTGTGTCCTGAAGCAGGGAAAATACCAGTCCTAGTGCTTGATGCACCCCTCACCCCAGGTCAGGGCTTTTAGAAATTCCTGACAGCTCCAGTGAGGGCAATGGTGATGACTGACCTCACTGCTTCACCCCTTGTCCTGTGGGGATCTCACCCAGATCCTTGGGTTGAAGCAGCAGYTTGGTTCACATTAACCCCACACCAGCAGCAGAGCCCAACCTGTGGCTGTATCCTGCAGGGATGCACCAGCAGCATGGAGAGACCTTTGCCAGCTCACACCCACCACACGACTCTGAGCAGGCTTGTTTCCAGAAGCCATCCTGATTTGGGGGGCTCTGCCCTGCTCCCCACAGTTCCTGATGGCTGCAGAGGTTTTAGCTCACCTCAGTGTGAAGGTGGCTGCACAAACACCGCTGGCTTCTGCCTGTACAGAGTGCAGCTGCAAAGCTGATTACCCTCTGCAAGCCTGACACTGTCATAAGCCTCCTGGAGCCTTGCAAATCCAGCTCAGGTCTAGTGCAGAAATGTTACCTGAGGTTTTTCCTAATCCAGAGGATTCCAGTCCCCCAACACTGGCAAAAAAAAAAAAAAAAAAAA